ATGGGCGTCCACTGAACCTGCTTCGGCTCTCGTGTTCACCTGCGCTCGCCGCCCGCCTAATGCTGTCGGGAGCCGAAAGAAGCTCCGTTATTTTCACGATGGCGGCACAGTGACCAACCATGCGTGATTAAAAAGTTTTGGCTTTTTTTTTTTTTCGGCAGACTGGACTGAACTAAGGACACGTGGAGCATTTTTTTTTCCGCTTTCACTGACCCAAACCTCAGAATAGCGACGCATGTCATCGAGGAGCAGTTAGAATGGCATTAATAGAATGGTTGAGGCGTGAATGCGCACCTGCGGGCAGGGAGGATGTGGAGAGAAACTTCCCGGTTAGAGCGCCACCTGCCCGGAGTGACTGAATGGCTTGACGCTCCGCCTCCTGTTGGCTTGACAACTTCTGCGAGGCCTGTCAAGTGTGATCATGCGTTCAACAAGCAAATTAGTTGACATCATTCGTGTCCTTGGCACAGAGAAAGAGTGATGGGCTCGCGTGACTCGGGGCAGAAGCCAATAAGTGCGTGGCTTCATGCCGACCAAAAAGTACGCCAAAGGCATGAATTGCCTCGAGGGTCTTGATGGACAAGTACAGAGAAGAAAGCCGACGACCTGTGGCAATTCACTTCATGAAACCATCTCGCTGAATTACAGAGACAAACAGCAGGCTCGATAGAGAGCTCCGCCGTACAATATATCTTCATTGATTCATGTGGCGGGTTCAGAAAAGCCGCACCACATTTTCGGGGGAACGGAAGCAAAAGAAGACGCTACGCGGCCAAATGTGCTCGAGAGGCCTAAAATTTGGGTCCAAAAAATTTTGTCCGGGAGCAATCCAATGACCACCAAACTGCGTCGCGCGCCCTGTGGAAACGTGATACCGAAAGGTGACAGCGGGCTGCGTGAAATGTTAACATTCTTTCACGACAAACCAAAAATGAGTCCGACTGTGCCGTCTACGTCTGTGATGGCGCGTGTCTTTTTGCCTACCGTGAGGTGCGTGTTGGCAGGGAGGCCTAACGAGATATTGGGAAGAGACGGCGAGGTGTAGAGACTCAGCGGACTCAATGTCCCGTCGGCCCCCAGCGTTTGATGAAGGGATCGAAGCTGCAGACACGCAGACACACACTTGGTTACGGGGTACACTCGGGCTCGGGGGAACATTTGCTGGAGGTTTTCAGCCGCCGGATCGAGCCGTGCCCCAATAACACGCAACATAGTTCGTTTTGAGTTCCAAACAAAAATGTGACCAGAGAAGGCACGACTTTTTTCTCGTAAAACACACAGATCAACAACAACACCATGATATTTTCATCCAGATGTCAACAACGACGACGACACGGAATTCCTTCGAAACGTTGCCCGCCCCGCAGGTGTGTTTGCGTACCTCAGTCTGTATGTTGGGGACAGAGCCGGTGTTGCCATTCGCAATCGCGGAATTCGAACTATTGGGACTGCTGGGCCCTGAACCTGGAGCGCTACTACAGAGAGGAGAGACTGTGAAAATAGAGCAAGCCATCCATCGGTCAGTCGATCAATCCCATGGGGGAATTTGCAAGGTGTTTGCTCACAATATTGACCGGAGTCATCCGGCAGAAGGGTTGTGGACGTTACCTGAAATCTCAATGGCTCTTTTCTTGAAGGTGCTAATGACCGTGCCGTCTTTCCTTCTGAGGAGCGGCGAGCTCCGCCTCTCCGCTACTTTCTGCTTCAACCGCGAACGCACCTTCAGGTTCGGCTCCGACACTGAATGACACAAAAAGGAGAGAAAACTTTCACGTGACCAAGTAGACTGACGAGGAAGGAGTTTCATTTGGCTTTTTTTTTTTTTTTTTAACTGCACATCTATCTGCATTTGCTGATTACGGTTTTACTCGTGGGCACTTCTTGTACGTCAGACACAAAATGTCAAAGGGAACCCCGAAGGCGACGAAAGAGGCTTCTTTTTCAGTGGGTAAAAAGTCAACCATATCAAAGCACTGCCTTCAGAAAGGAAGAATGTTTGCGGGAATAGATTTGGCAAAAACTAACGGTTTGCTGAAACACTTTCAGTCTATTTGGGTGGCAATTTTTTTTTCTTCAGCGCGGCACATCTTGACTCGCCACTATTTGACTTGGCCACTTTTGCTTCTGAAACCACTCCAAATCTGTTGGACTGTGAGGGCATCTAGTGTGCAACGTTTTTTTTTTTTTTTTTAAATTGGATTCAGGTCTACGGTCCGCCTGGCGAAAACCTCTGGTCGAGTCATTCATTTGGTTCGGATCCCCAAAAATGAAATGAAACCACTGTGAATTAAGGTTCTCCACTCCATTCCAGATGATGGTGACGTGCAATTTTTCGGAATTTCTTTGAGGAGGGAGAAATGATGAAAACGGTCTTTGATTTTTCTGCCTTCTTGGTACGCAATGTCAACGAGTCATTGCGGCTGGCATATGGTGCTCGCGCACTGACGACGCAGCGCCACAAGTAACCGGGGGGGTTGTTAACTTGTTCGAGAATACGTCAACGGGACACGGGGAGAACAAATTGGGCCTGACATCACACCGGGGTGAGAGATGACCTTGCCAGCGCTTGAGCAAAGACACTCCAAACAAAGTTTTGAGCGCTGTGTTTTGGGACGGGACTTGACGTGCGTGCGTGTGTGCGGGACACGCAGGGCCGCCGAAGGAGGACGTGATCTTTCCTGCCGAGGGTCGCGGCAGTGGCCGGGTCACATGGGACTTTGGGCCAAAGGCTGCATAACAAACGATCAATTGCAGGGCGATCGTGATGCGGCATCGAGTGAGATCCGCTCCCATGCAAATTGCGCCGAACTCACTGATGTCCACGATGACATGACCAATGGGCCGCATAGGACATTAGTTGGATGGAAAACGGAATTGTGCCGGTAACGGTTTCCTTTTCAAGGCTTTAACCTTGGTCAATTTAATGGGATTTAAAAAAAAAAAAGAGACCATCTGACAGGGCGATGTCCTCGCTCGTGTCCACTTACCTGTCTTGCGGAGCGGAAAGTCGTCCTTGCCCTCGTAGTTGCCCAGCAATGTGGGAAGTTTGTAAGATGGCGGAGTTCCCGGAGTGTTACTCTGGGGTGGAGAATTCTGCTCCAGGGAAGCGTTCTGGCCTCCCCTGCGGACACACAACAAAGACCCGCTGGTAAAATAGCGTCAGAGGAGTTCTCCTGCCAAACAGCAAGCGAAGTGACCGATTGGAAAAGGTTTGGCCTACGGAATGGATGCCCCGAGTTGCCGCGGAAGAATAACACAAGCATCGCAGTGGCACGACTCGCCACTGCGCCGACTAGATTCGTCTTCTCCTTCTTCTTCTTATTCCTCCTTACCAGCACTTTGAGGAGAAGGAATGGTTCAGTCCACCCATCGCGGGTTCTTTCTTATTCAGGAGGAATTCCTGCAATTTCAACTTGACCTCGGTACTGGCAATGGCACCTTTGATGAGACACGGACACAAAGAAACGGCGCAATGCATCAGCAGCCGTCTTGCGCACGCTACGGTCGCGATGGCCTCGACCTACTCTCTTTGCCTTTCTCCTTATTCCGAAGTAGAAGCAGCTGTTGCTCCAGCCGTAGTTTCTCCTGCTCCTCGTGTCTCTGTTGTTCCAGTTTTCGCTTCTGCTCCAGCTCTTGCTGCCGCTTCGCTGCCAGCAGTTCCTGTTGTTGCTTGCAAAGCCACAAGAAAAAAGGCATGATCGCAGGAATCGGAAAAAAATAAATGACAGCATGGTTGCGGTGTGACCGACTGCGCAAAAATGACCCGAGCGGCTCCTCGTTTCGTTCCCGAGTCAAGGGGCTCTCGGGGGTAGCGCAACGTCTCAACTGGAGGCGCTCAGTACCTTCAGGTGCTCTTGTAGCTGGACTTCGTGTTGTCTGGTGAGCACTTCGTGTTTTTTCTGGAATTCAGCAAATAGTAGTTGTTTCTGGAGCTCTTGCTGCTGTTTAAGTAGCACGAGTTCGTGCTGGAGCTGCTGCTCCCGCAAAGCGGTATCCACTCCTGCGCTTCCCACGGGCAGAGTGCCCAGCCTGGGCTCAGTGCGCAGGTCGACGGGGGCTCCTCCGCCACCGGAGCCTTCTTCCGAACCTGGGGGACAGCAGAGAGCGCATTGACTCTCGCCGCGACGACGGCCAAGCGTCTCGGGCGGTACAGATGGAAACGGTCGGAGCGCAAGCTGCTGATCGGCCGATGACTTTTGGAAACGAACGGATTCGGCCTCTCGGAGCGCGCGCGCTCTCAGAGTGGCGTTAGGGTGTCAAGAGCGGATTTTCCAACGGACCGCAGCGAACGGGGATTTTGGGTGCCAGCCCGAGCTCTAATTTGAACCCGTACGAGGCCCCGCGTCCGAAGACCAGCCCGAGTATGACAAAAAGGGCCGCTTATCACGCGACAAAGACGGGACCGGATGAACAAAATGGCACCTCTTATCCAAGTGAGGGGAGGACACAAAAGATCACCCTTGATGATGATCTCTCATAAAAGGTCAAAGGGGTGCATGAAAGCGTTTCCACATGCCCGAGGAATTATTCCATCCGCGTGCGCTTGGTTTGGTGCGTCAGACATTTGCGCTTCCATCACAAGGCTGCGTGCGCTTGAGGGCATTTTAGGAAGTCGTGACGCATTTGAAGACCTTGCATGTATCAGACAATGGTAGTTTTCTTTGTTTTTGGATTTTCTTTTTTTTTTACATGACAAGTAAAAGCGCACAAGCGCATTTGGTCAGACAGAATTTCCAGGATCGGCCCCCCACCCTGGTTGAAGTGTCCCAGGCATGTCCAAGCAAGAACACTCAAAGACGATTTAGGATGCGTGCGTACTCACCACCTTCGCCACCTCCCCCTCTCTGTTCACCTGCTGTTCCTACCGGGCTCTGCATGCCCGATGGAAGGCTGCTTTTCACCTCCACCACTGCAAGAGAGAGAGAGAGAGAGAGAGAGAGACGGAATGCCTGAGCAGTCTGCACGATGTTGTCCGCGAACCTCCACCACTGCAAGAGAGAGAGAGAGAGAGAGACGGAATGGCTGAGCAGTCTGCACGATGTTGTCCGTGAATCGTTGTCCGCCAACAAAACCAAGAGATGCGCTTCTTCTTTCATTCAGATGCACAACGATCATCTAAGACGAAAGGAACGCAGCATCCGGCTGCCTAGAAATAGCAACAGGAGTTGCCCATCTAAGCTCTCTTCGGGCAGTAGGTGGGGGACACCCTGAACCGGTTGCCAGCCCATCGCAGGGCGCACACAGACCAACAACAACCAGGGACAATTTGGGAGTGTTCAATCAGCCGGCCATGCATGTTTTTGGAATGTGGGAGTACCCGGAGAAAAGCCACGCAGGCCCAGGGAGAACATGCAAACTCCACACAGGAAGGCCGGAGCCGGGATCGAAGCCACGATCTCTGCGCTGTGAGGTCGGCGCGCTAACCACTCGATCACCGGGTCGCATGCATACACACACACACACACACACACACACACACACACACACACACACAGGTTGTTGTCCCCCCCCAACCCCCCCAGATATCACAAAAACTAGACATGCCAAGACTCGGCAACTTCAGAATAGACATCCCCAATTAGCTTAGCGGCTTCCGTCGGCGATAAAGATCACCGGATAGGTGTGCGTTAGTGTGTGTAAGGTGGGACTTTGGAGGAGTGAGCCAAGTCTGACCCTGATCTGCCACATGCTGTTGGCTACTGTCTCCTGAGCGCGGATGATCCCTTCTAATGGATTAGGCTACTTCCTGAAGATGGCAAAAGGTATGTTAGGGCGTCAGAACATTTCCTATCTGCTGGTCGGACAGGAAATGAAATCGGACCTTCCTCACAGAGAACTTTTCGACCTCCTTCACTGACTTGCCGCATGGCTCGGGCGTGACTTTACTGAACCCGTGCTTCCCAAATAAGTTTGGTTTATTCAGCTTCACTTCGCCCCCCCCCCACACCCCCTTTCGAGCATCAGCTTTTACGCACCATAAAAAGTAGGAGGTAATCTCATCAAACGGCAACATCCACAATAAGGTTAAGCTTGTTAGCTCTGTCCTGGCAAGCGAGAGGAGAACGTCATTCAAATCCTGAATGTCTTCTGGACCAAACTGACTGTCGTTTTGGAGCCTCTTTCTGCAATTATGAGATACTCAAAAAAAAAAAAATAATAACCATCTAACTTAGACATCGGTGAAAGATTAGTTGTTTAAAAATATGCCTCCTTACTGTCCCACACGTGCAAAGACACACAACCAAAGGCAGTTTTATATTTGGTGATGTGTGACCATTCAGTTGGTTCAGTCCCTGCGGCTGGTGCTACCGCAGCGCAAAAAAAACCCAAATGCAGGGAGATGAACACGATGTGTGTCTGCGAATGTGTTTGCAGCCACTCACTTCTCAATTACCTAAACAAATATTCTGGCGTGTCACGGTGACGCACGTGTCTCCCTTTGCACTACAACACAGACACTGTCCCGATGTGTACGTGTGTGTGTGTGTGTGTGTGTGTGTGTGTGTGTGTGTGTGTGTGTGTGTGTGTGTGTGTGTGTGTGAGAGACTGGACTGTGAGTGTGTGTGTGCGACAGCCCTGTTGGCAAGAGAGCAGCATTCCACAGCAGCCAGCTTCTGACGTCAAACTCAAGACATTTATAGTCTTGTAAAGACGCACACAAACTCACACTAACATACAGTCTGGCAAAGGGGCGGCTCAAAGCCACTTTTCGGTCAATAATGTGAGCCGCTCCACCGTTCGCTGCGGTTCGCCACAATGAGGCGCGAATCGAGTGAAATGCAGTCCAGGAAAAAAAAACCTTCCATCCAAAAGTTCTTGAAGTATCTCCACCGGCGTCAAACTTTTCAAACAACTCCATCGGGATGTTTGTATGATTTGGAATTCGTTTCAGTCATCGCCCGGCCGGACACGAGACCCAAAAATGACAAATTGCTTTGTCAGGGAATTTCAGACACTCGGGTTTGGTCGTCCGAGTTTGGAATTTCATTTCAAAAACAATTCTTTGTTGTTCCGTTTCCCGTTTTCTGTCATTTAGACTTCCCAGGACCGCGGGTGCAAGGTGGTATTTTGGGAAAGCGATATTCATCTTTCCGTTTCTTGTCCATAACGCCCCGCTCGAGGAAAATAGCTCGGATGACGTCAGCTCAGCAAAACAGCGCAGGCAGAGCGGGGACGAACGAAAAGGTAAAAATAGTATCATGGCCGCGCGTGCTTTGGACAAATTAGAAGTCAGAGGGAGTAGTCGCGTGTGTCCCGTTGCCATAGAGACAGATGGGTGGCTATTGCGGGATGGCGATAGGTCGTCCAGCGAGATGTCGTCTTGATGTGTGGCATGAGGCTTCGCGTCTGTGGGCGAGGACCCGCTGAGCTTAAGCGGAGCTTCTCCGGGACCGGTGGGGTCAATCCAGCTTCCCTTTCTCAGTTCCGGGATGTCCTGTGAAAAGCCGCAGCTGCCAACCGATTTATTCATTCATTCCCATCGCAACTTTGATGTCCTTTTCACATTTTGTCAACAACAATGCAGCGGGGCAGTGATGATGTCTATTATGCAAGAGAATCAAAGGAATGAAGCGATCAGATAATGATGGCTATCCGACTGGAATCACTCGTCAATTGGCGTTTGTTATTTGAATGGATGGATTGTTGTAGTTATTGCATGGCGCTTGGAACGGCCGCCCGTTGCGGCCCAAGTCAAGGTACGCCAGATTGGCATCCAAACGGCAACTGCAATGTCACATTGCACTTGGCTGAGTACAGCCTGAAAAGCACGTTCAGAACACCTCACGCCTGCTCCGCCACTTAAAACAAGCACCGCTGTCTACGAAGTGCCATACGTGGAGCAAAGATCATTCGGACAACCCAACAATGAATGAATAGCGACCACAGCGGAAAGCGCAAAAACGGTCCAACGAAAAATCCAGTCACGTTTTCAGACGAATTTGAAAGATGGACCGCGAGGGGGCTCGCCAAACGTTTGGTGATTTCGGAACGGAGACAAGGCTTGAACTCACAGGTTTTCTTGAATCATTCAAATTTGCCTTCTAATTTGTGAACGCTTACTCTCTCTTGCACGTCAAATTTAGAAGACGTAATGTCTTTCAACTTGCGGGGATTTAAATTCATCACGCTCGGAGGACAGGTAACAATCGTAAAAAGCTCAACTCATGAAGTTGACCGCTTCCTACTTTTTTTTTTTTTTTGAACAGAACAGTCAACTTGCTTTTGTACATTTTTCCGAATGGCAACAGTTTGAGCGAGGAACAGCTTATTGGAATTGATATGCTGAGACAAAACTCTATTTCTGAATCCAAAGATCTTTGGAGGTTCCTGGCTATCTTGCTCAAAGCGCCCTTTCCTGAAGAACGACTCAGCAGCGTCGGTGTGAAGACAGCAGAGGAGAAGAGGTCAACGTGCCAATGTCCCGTTCCAAATAGCCGTTGGCGTCAAAGCCCAACTTTAAACGCCGCTCACCTCACCGCACCTTTGCCGAATGCCAATCCCCCCCCCCTTTTTCCCCTCTTGTCACTCCACAAATACGACCGCGATAAATCGAGAAGAGACGAGCATCTGATGATAAGAATAACAACCGAACACAAAGATATCATTTCATTTCCGTTTCAAATTCAACATTGCAAAAGTCACGGTAAAGCAAAAGAGAGCACCGGAAGAGCAAAAAGAGTGCAAATGACGGCGACCAAGCGGCATCCGGAGAGTCGGCGTGAACCTTAAAAAACCCCACCACCTCGGTTCCCCGAGAAGACTCACCGGCTGTGGGCATGACAGCGGCGGAGGCCCCCCTGCTATTCAGGAGCTCCAGAGGCTGCTGGCCGTCCGTGCCGGCAGAGGAAAAACAGGACTCGGTCTCATAAATGGTCTGCAACATGGTGCACAATCCTGACACCGTGCGATGCAACAGCATGCCCGAAGGAGAGGAGCGCTCTCTTTGCGCACAAAACCAGTCCCGTCCGTCCCTTTTCAAGAAGAGCGCCGCGTATTCAAGAAGTGGCGGCCACTCATTGTGGGAGGTTGAAAACTGTTTCTCTCTACTCCCCAAATTGCCATTGGAAAATGCGATTGTTGTCTTTGGTGATGGAATTCGTTGGGGTATGTCTTTGGGGCTTTCTCCTGAAAAGTGACAGTCGTCCAAAAGATCCTCGTTCTGTGACGCGGCGGCTTCAGGGCAGTCTCCCCTAAGCTCGGCCGGACAAATCAGTGGAAACGAAAGGGAAGAGGGAACACCTAGGAACGCCCCAGGGTCTGGAGTCCGGATCCCTGCCGACACGTCACAGTTGCCGGCGTGTTGTCAGACGTAGCGGCCACTCGTTCAGAGCAGAGAGTTCGCCTCCGATCCCGGTCTTGGCCGACACCAAGTGAGGGAAAGGGACGAGGAGGAAATCACCCAAACGCGCTTTTGGAAAAGTGGCGGCAATTCCGCCCAAGTGACGGAAGCCGTCGGCTCCGCGCGCGCTTCTCTGTTGGCGTGGGGATGGACCGGCCGCTTCCCGCGGCGGCCAACGCCGCACCAAAACGGATACGAGGAGACGCCGAATTCCCCTGCATCAAAGGCTCCTCGCGCCGCTCTCCTCCCGTCTGATGAGAGGGAGAGGAGGAGAGGAGGAAGATAAGGAAAGGCGAGGACAGAAATAGCTCTGGGAGAGCACTCCCCGAGGTTCCGTGCTTCCAAAATTAGAAGCGAGCGCTGAGAGAACGACAGAGCGAGGGAAGCGAGGCGGGCGGGCGAGGAAGCCGATGACACGAAAAAGAAAAAGAAAAACAAGGACATTTGCGGCGGCAGAAGACGAGCGCCGACAACAAGCCTTTCCCGGAGCGGCCGAGGATTCCATGCGGTGAAAGAAACTTCACGGAAAAGAGAAGGCTTGCTGCATCGTCAACCTTCATCCACCCACTCCAAAGAAGTGCTGGTCAGACGGCTCATGTGCGCCGTCTGACAGGCAGCGCTCTGTGAGCGCGCGTGCGTGTGCGCAGAGCGCAGGCGGAAGTCGCTGCGAGCTGTTGAATGAAAAGGGATGGGGAGGGGGTGGGGGGGGATCAGAAAGTAGATCACTGGGTGGAGAGGATGTTAAGACGGAGGAGCAAAGACACCGACGGCTTTTGTCCTTCCGTGAGGAAAAAGGGGGAAGACGCTCATTCGTTTTGAGCCTTTCCTGCAGCTTTCATCAGATAACCACGAGAGAGGAGACACCAACACGGGAGGTGGGGAGACGTGTGATGGAGGCGCTGGGGATGAAAATAGCCCGCCTCGGAGAAGGAGGAGTTACAGATATAAATAGACAACACAGAGAGAGAGAGAGAGAGAGAGAGAAGCCTCAAGCTGTGGGGGGGTGGAAGAGGGATGCACACCAATGTCATGATTCTCAATAGCACTTCCCACAATTCACCCGTCAATCAAAGAGTGAGGCCGGGACTGCGACAACCTCTTGCTTGGCGGCTCACTTCTGTAGGTGCCTGCGACTGCTGAATGGAGCAAGGTGGCATCTCTCCAGCCCTCATCTTGCCACTTTAGCTTCGGCCGAGTTCACGTCGACACATGAAGATGTGCGATGGGCTTTTGACTGAACCGATCAATTGTGGAGCAGAGAAATCAGCAAACGCCCTTTGATGTGGACTAGAAGTTGCTCGGGAAGAAGAAGCTCCATCTAGATTTGGCTCCCTTCATCCATCCGTCCCCGAGATGTTGCCAGCACATCCGGAAAAGTGCGCAAATATATCATCTCTCCAGCAAGAACTGGAGCAACACCTCAGCCGGGAGTCTTCCTAGTGACGTTGAAGACTGGTGGATGGGTGGCGGTCTTGATGGAAAATCCCGAGTGCGGGTCCACGACAAGACCAAAGCTTTTGGGAGGTCAGTCTCAGACAAGAGCAAGACTTTGAAAACGAGGTTCCCACGTGGGACTAGCATAGCGTAGCCCTCAACTCTCCGCACACGCAAAACACATTGCCTTCGGCATCTTGTTTTAGTGCGATAGGAAAACGAAGCAAATTCCCACGGCGGACCGTAGAGTTGGCATACGCGCTCCACGGTTGCCGGAGGTTTTCTCGTTGACTTTTCGGTCCGCGTAGGAGGAGATCAACATTCTCATTCTCTGACGCGGTGACCCTTGCGGGCGCTCCGGAGCCTCGCCCGGCTGTCGTTGGGCCAGAGTCGCGACACGCCCTCAACCGATCCACACGACGGGTTTTAAGTTGGGGCTCGGACACAACTCGAACGCCTCGGTCCGCTTTGTTCGCCTTCGACGCGTCTGCTCAACGAGTGGGAATGCGGCGGCTTCAACGCCGTGCATCCGATCCAGAGGGAAGTCGCCGGACATACAAACTAGAAGGTGGCCCTCTCGTCTCCCCCGTTCATCTTTTGACGTTGACGGGAATCGGCCTCACTGTTCCAATACTTTCAGAAGGCGAGTACATCTGCTGGCCGGGAAAGCTCGCAAGGGGAGAAAAGTCATGACGCCTAAGCCCCTCGTGTTCTTTCCCCCCCCGCCCCGTATCCGATGACAACATACAGACATTTGAAGTGTGCACACAAAATAAAGCTGGTGCTCAAGGGCAGCATTTTCCAGCGGTGCACCTGGGAGACGCCGCCGAGCGTCGTTGCGTCAAAGAGCTGCACTGCGCACTTTGCTGTCTGTGCGGATATTATTAATTGAAACGAGCGGCTGCTATTTATAGGTGTCTGTTTGTTCCATTCAGCGCTGGATCCCATAGTGAATTCGCCTGCTTCAAGTACTCCGGCTGTTGAAGGCGACGGAACGAAAGAACGCCGAGGTGTTTCGGCGGCCCGTTTCCTTTTCCGGGAGAGAACAAAGCGCACTCCGGCGTTTCCATTAATTGGTCACCTTCATCCCCCTCCTCCTCCTCCTCCTCCTCCTCCTCCTCACCTCCTGTGTCAACAGCTCTGTATGCCCAATGGGCAGACTCGGGATGACTCACGGGCAGAATGCAAAGACAACGTTCGCATATTTTCTTTTTTTTTTTAAAAAAATCTAAAATATATGTGCAGCTCGCTGCAACATCATCATTCAGTCATGCAAAATTATTGATCGGCCTTTCCAAGCATCCATACAAAATTTACAGGGTGACGGAGCAAAATATCCGACATCTCAATGGTCTCACATACAAAACACGTCTGCTGAAGGTGTGTGTGTGTGTGTGTGTGTGTGTGTGTGTGTGTGTGTGTGTGTACTGCAGTGGTTCAGCGGATGACTCATCTCTGCGTTTCTATTTGGGGCGCATCAACCGCTGGAGTCACACTGTGTCTTTGTGCGTGTGTGTGTGAGCGTGTGCATGCGCGCTATATCCGTCCCCATGACAACCAAATTACAGTCAGCGTGACAAGTGACATGGCTCCGTCGAGAAAGGGGACCGACAAGGTGCCTGGGTGACTCGATGGCTCTTGCATATTTCAGACTGCGTGAGGTGGACTTCAAACATCCACGCCTCTCACGCGGATCTCCGCAGTTTGCTGCCATCAACGCATCTCGCCGGGTCCAACAGGACTGTCACGGTTGAATATTTTTACAAACCATTATTCCGTCGATGAATCGGATAAAAATCTATTTTGAAATCGAGTGGATGACTTCGTTGTTGTTGTTGTTATTTTAAAGATCAGACACAGGCAAATAAACAACAATTAAGCAATATGACACAAGAGGAAGCCATGTTCTGAGGGCGACTCGATGTCAATTACGGGTTCTTCATATTACGGCTACAAATAACAATTACGTTGGTAATAGATTACAACAGGGGTGCCCAACCTTTTTTGGACGCATTTTTGGAGCGTCTTAAGTGCAGACACTCTCCTGCACACGCGTGGCGTTTGAAAATACTGCTCCTGGCGCTTCGGATTGCCATTCTTTACGAGAGCCGTCGCTGAATTGGACATCAAAACAAACTTGGAATGAGAATAGTCATAAGAAGAAGAAAAGACAGATTTCACAACCGCAAGTTGCAATCGCAGACCGCTGACTGCTAAGCACTTGCGCTGATGCAGATCGCGCGCCACCGAAGGTTCATGGTGACCAGCTTTTTTTATTTCATTTGATGTTTTCAATACTTTTTTTAGAGGGGAGGGGGGTGGCAAAAGTGAAACTGACGGGATGCTGAGGGTGCATTGTGCACAGACACAATACATCATATGAACAACACGCATACAGACACACAAACCTTTTCTTTTTTTTCCCCCTGTACCTCTCACGATTGACACGGGACCGGTGGATCGTGATCGACGTATTAGAATTAAACTGTTGGTCCCCACCCCCCTCCGCCCCCAATAAATTGATAATGACTCCATTACTGATTGATTAATTTGACGGTGGATGAGTTGCGGACTCAGCGATGAATTGTGACCCCTCTCCTACCCCGGACTCTGTAGGTTGTCGCGTTCCCCGATGATGGCATCGGTGAGAACCGGACACCAGCCGGGTAGCCACAAAAAAAAATCAAACCATGGGGCGATTGAAGATTTTCACGAACATGAGTGAATCTCTTAAGGCCAAGGTCGACTTGGACAAAGGTGTCGGGCCAGCAGCAGCAGCAGCAACCATGGCAACAATAACAGCTCACAAAGCCATTATTCAGGCCACAGCCAGACATGACATTTTCTTCGCTCGACTTTCGAGAGCACTAAACTCATCGCCGGGGACGAGCAAATTTGTCAAACAATTACTCACAGCTGACATCACGGATCAATGGAAACTTACCGGAGGTGTGTGACGAATTCATGGAGGCTGAATCCGGCCTCGGCTTTCTGATCCTTCAGGTCGGCGTGCGCGTGCGTTAAAGTGGGTCCTCCGTGTCGGCCATGTGTTGCAGGGCAGACGGCGGATGGGCAGATAAACGGATGAATTCGACCTCCTCCTCGGTGTCGACTCTTCCGGAGGGAGGGAGAAAAAAAGAATATTAAGAGATGACTTCAAAACGGGGCTCATACGCTCTGTCGGATCGGAAGGAAGAAATTAAGATAACAGTGACGGTACTCAAACTTGTTTCTTGAAAGAAATTGCACCTTGTTGTTTTTTTTTTTTTTTGAGAGAAGATTTTGCTCTGCACACCAGATGATGTGTTTTTTAGACAGATAATCGTTCTAAAAACAAACATTAAAATTGACACACTGTCTTGTGCTTTATCTTCATCTAATCATGCTCTTGGAGGAAAATTCAAAGTCGCCCTTTTTAGTTTCTGACAAGGGAAGATCAATGGTGGCTGATGCTCGTTTGTGTCAGGGTCATGTTGCTTGTGCCTATTTTTTTTTTTTTTTTTGCGGGGGTGGGAGGGATACAACATGCATAGTGTTATAGGGTGCTTGAAAAGGTCAACTAGAAAATTAAAAAGCTAGCCAGACACATAGGGAGACGGCGTCGTCAGAACAACAGTAGCTTGATAAGCAAACGGTGCAAATGCAATACGCAAGCTCGATCACATTTCACTAATCTTTAGTTTCAATCATATACTGCTTTGCTCACAGCAGCCTGCGCACCAAATGATGAAAAGTAGTCCTTCTTAAATCCTCTTTCAATGACTTCTTCATTCACTTGATTTCATTTCAAATTGTTAGCAAACGTCGGATTGAACGTTTTGGTGACGGGTCGTGACCTGTGCCCTGAGCAACTGCTCTGTTGTCGTTTTCAGTCCACAGCAAGTGGCAAAATGGCCACCCCCTGAGATGGAGAAAAGGGGATCGTCTGTTTTGGAACCAATTCCACACACAGTCCCTTACATTGGGCTGCTCGGTAATCTGGTGCCACCTACTGGCTCTTTTGGTGATTACAGCAACGAGAAGACTTGCAAAGAGGTCCAAAGCAACAGCCGGAAAGAAAACCTAGCCATCCCTCCATTTTCCGATCCAGAGTACCCAGAGAAAACCCACGCTGGCACGGCAAGAACATGCAAACTCCACACGGGGAGGCCGGAGCTGAAATCAAACCTCTGCACTGTGAGGTCGGCGCACTAACCACCGACCCACGGGGGCTCCGGAAAGAAAATCTTGCAGAAACGAGCATCCCGAGGAATTGTCTCCAATGCATGACGAGACACTCGGTGCGTGTGCCCAAGGTGGGAGCCTGCACGTCCGACGGAAGGCTCAGTCTCATGGGCTGCTGCGGGATTTCAAAGATTTCAATTCCACATTGATTCAGCAATTCCTCTGAATCCATTCACCTCCTGGCCAACGGAAGTGTACGCTTTGCACGTGAGCGGCGCTCAGCCAAACAACGCCAACGCGGCGACGGCAGCGGCGGCCCGAAGCGAGCGCCGTCTCCTTTTGAATGGGACAACTCGGGTGGAATGCTCCCGTAAATTGACCCGCAAACCGCCGCCCGCGCACAAAAGATAGGCAAGGACCTTTGGCCGTTGCCGTGTCGTCGCAAAGCCAGAGTTTAAGAAGACAGTACAGACACGCCAACGACCGTATCCGAAGCCGCGCGCCGAGCAAAGACTGCGGTTTGGCACCTGTGGGAGCGCCGAGAACTCGGAGCGGTTGGGCTCCTGGGGTTGACTGACCCCTACATGCTCGTCATTTTTCATTGCAGCGAGAGTCAAGAAAGCTTACGGGCACTTTACTTTTTGAGTCTTATACAAATGCACAAATACATTTTTGTTTCAGATGTTTTATGATCGAAAATGATGATTGATTCATTTCCCTAATTGATTAGTTTGGTGAATAATCGTTGCGCCTCTGCGTGTGTTTTGACTGCGGCCAACTGCCGCCGCCAACAAAAGATTTTCGGGGCCATCGGACTTACGCGCTGGCCACGGGTACCCGCTGCACTTTGGCGTGTTTGAATTTTGTTGTATGTATTTCTAGATAGTCACAACTTACTCCTCGTTTCTGCATTGAACTTATCGACGCGCTATGACAGCACTTAAATGGATATTGCATCAAATCGGAAGCTGGGGAATCAAAACCTCACCGAAACACAACCGAACGAATCGAACCGTCAGGCGATGACGAATGCGCGGCGATACAATCCGCCCGGTTTGAGGAAGTGTCGAAAAAAACAAAGCCATGGACTGGAAGTGTCCTGAATTTGGCTTCGTTGACTGTGCGGCTCTTTTCCAGCTTCTTAGTTGCATTTCACTGCCAAGATAATGAGAGGAAATGTCCCCGAGAGAAGGGACAGAGAGAGAGAGAGAGCGTGTGTGTGTGTGTGTGTGTGTGTGTGTGTGTGTGTGTGTGTGTGTGTGTGTGTGTGTGTGTCACAGAGCGGAGGACTTCAGCCTCTGGAAGTAACCAGACCAACCTGCCGGCCAACTGCAGCAGAGGTGAAAAGGCAAAAAAACAGAAAGGTTGAGGATATGGAGCGTGGACGCCCGAGTCACGTGACTCTGCACTTCAATCCAACATGTTGGCCATGTTGCCAAAGAATTAACAAAAATAGAAGACTCTCACTCTCCCGCCTCCTGCTCCTCCTCTTCACACCAGCGTTTCCTAAAATACCCGCTCCCCTCGCATGCGGGAGAGGAGCAGGAAGTGCTGCCTGGCAACCAAAGAGCCGGCTGCCGTAGCAACGCTTCACCTGAGCATTTCTTGCCTAAACAAACAAGCGCGAGCGAGCGGGACGGAGAAAGGATGGGTCGTGTAGCGAAAGCCGGCGCCGGCCTCGGCGGCTTCGCCAATCATCCGACGTCTTTCCTGTCGGACGCACTTTTCAAGGTGCACAGCCGCATCGTCTGCGAACGACGTCTGGCAGACTTGGCCGCAAAGGGAACGCCACTCGTTGAAGGTCTCGCCGGCAAACAACGGCCAAGCTAGATCGGGGCTGTCCAAACCCTTTCGTTCGAGCGCCGCGTTCATCCAAATGCAAGAATGCAAGAATGCAAGGGCCACTTGGTCATTTTATGACAGGCCAAAATCAGCCATGCGGGCATTGAGATATTGTGAACATTTTCGAGTTACTTTGGACAGCTGTTACGTCGCGGCTCTCGGTTGGAGGCGAGGAGGCAAATTGTTTGGGATTTTTCAAGCTTTTCGGGTGGCCAAGGGCCCCGTATCTCACTTGACGAGATCCACCCCTGCACCGAGCAGTCGCCGAAACCCACGTTCAGAAGCAAAACAAGAGCAAACGGTACAGTTGCTTGAGAATCATGAACGGCACACCATCATGAGAGCGGAAGAAACCATTCACGCTTCCAAAATTTCATTGTCTTAATTCAGCAGTACTTTGAAGAGAAATGCTGTGATTTTAGTTGGAAATACAGTAGTTCCTTTGGATCTTTGCATATCCAGAAAAACTGTTCAAAATGTCAATCATTCATTCGTAGTGGCACCTATTTTGTTTTCGACACCCTCCCTTCTCACTCTGCCAAACTTCAGACTCCAACCTCTTCTTTTTTGTTTGAACTAGCCTTGTGGACCGTGACAAATGTCATTTTCAATTTATGTCGCGGGCCGCAGAAAAACGGATGGCGGGCCGCAAACGGCCCCGGGCCGCAGTTTGGATGTCAGCGAGACGGATCACAATTTGGGATGTCGGCACATCACGTGTGATGTCAGCGCATCCCATGAGAGCTCATTTCCTCCGGCATCAAAAGATTCAATCTGAGAGTGTGGGTTTGCTTTTGCCGTGGTTACGGGAAACTTTTTTTTTTTTTTTTTAAATGACTAAAAAAACAAAACAAAACAAAGATTGGCTGTTTCTGTGCGGACGAGGCCTTCAATGATGTTAGCCCTGCTGAGTGATTCGCATTAGGAGGCTGTTTGCATCGCGTCAAACTGTTTTTAGCTTTTTATTATTAGCGGTGGAAATGTCGACTTGTACATTTTTACACACCCTTAAAATGTTGACACGCAGTTAACAAAGGTTTCATGCTGACAACTGATCGGGAAGGCTAAGTTGCATTTTCTGTATTGATAGCACACGCTCTGGTGTGAAGAAAAGAAAACGGCTTGAGAAATGAATGTAACGAGTTCGGACTTTTGGGGGGGCGTTGCTGAGATGGACGGGCGGCTACTGCGCGTCCTCTAACGGCAATGGGCGGGAGTGTGCTTTTGGAACACGTTCAAAGATCGCCAATCAATAACGCGGTAGAGAGTGGCTCAAATTAGCATGAGCATCGAGTTTCCAATCAGTGCGGGTGGAAGCCTTTGAGCGCTGCGAGTTGTTTGAAGTTGGGCGGGAGTCGCCGTCTCGGCCTGAACCTGAGATTCGGGTTCGGTCCGTCTCATTTTTCTTTTTCGATTGAAGTCATTTCCAACTCAGGAGAGTGCTTTGACATGTATCTCAAGTACCAGTGGTATCGGTATTTGGTATCAGTATCCGCGACCAGAAGAGTTAAGTATTCGTACCGGTATCGGTCATATCAGACATCCCTCATTAAGAAGAGTAGCATGGTTGAAAACCTTTCCCAGATATGAGCGGGTCAACGCGATTGAAATCGGAGTTTGAGCAGGGTCACAAAACAGACCGCTGACCGACGTTGTAGTTCTTCTTCATTTCTTACATACGGTACTCATAAAAATGAACGCCCGCCAGCTCTCGATTTCAAACTGAGGGACAAACGCTAAAAGTTTGGCATTCCCTTCAAAACGATAATTGATGATCAGAACATTTTGTCGAACCCGGACCTCAACTTGGGTAAAACCCCCGCAAAATGACCGGCAACTTGAAGTGGGTTGCACTGCGCAGTGCGAGGAGATATTATGCAACTAATGCGCCAAATGCACTCTTGACCCCTGAGATCTGACTTGCGGGCTTGAAGGGGGGAAAAGCGCCCATTATGCAGCTGCAAATCCCTCATTCAAAGTCTTTCCAACCAGACGATCGGCAAAGGGATTGAAGCCCTTCGGGGAGGCGGTGACGTGGAGGATTTAAACTGCAAAGAGCGTTCTGAGAACCAGTTTGTGAATTAGAAGCATGCACGATGGTCAACTCGATGATGCTAACAGGCAACGGCTTCGGACTAGTGTGGTGCTCAAGACTAGACTAGGGCTGAAGAGGCAAACTCAACATAGCGAGCCCCGAGCAAAGATTAACACCCTGAACTTCATAACAGTGAGAGGCAGACATACAAAGCAAAAGGCCAAATTAAAAAAAAAAACAAACATAAAATAATAATAATAATAATAATAATAAATATCTTTTTATTTTATTTTTTTAATTATTTCATGAAACCCGTCCGTCTGTGTGTTTTCTACAGCATCACTCACAGGTCTGAAGTGGCAAGAAAAAAGTCAAGTGGGAGAGTGTATCAAAAAAAGAAAACTAAAATTCAATTCTTCTTCATGTCTACACACACAGTTGCATCAAGAGTGTGCGAATAAAGAACCGAGCTACACGGTGGCGGCAAGTCCCGCATGATGTCACGTCGGAACATCAAAGTACGTCGGTGTCAAATGGCTTGCGTAAATACTCATCATAATAACGCACCAACAGCGGTGTTTTAAGCTCGTTTAGTGCAGTGGTCTCCACCCACCGGTCGGCGGACCGATACCGGGCCTCGGCCCGTTAGGTACTGGGCCGCACAGAGACAGACCGGCGAGCCGTGAGCAAATTTGTTTCATCAGACGTGGCGGAAAGGTGCGTGTCTCTCGCCAATCGGAGTCCCCCTTCAAACATTGCTTTGCAAGTTGAAATCAACAAAATCCTCCAATGCACGAATGAAAGAGCAGTCAACAGAAAGGAAGAGGAACCAATTGACCAAACGGACGGCTTTAGACGCGCAGCCGACGCGCAGTCGTGACTTTCGAAGATGAAGCGATTTGGACAAGAGAACTTCCTCCCCTGACGACGAGCGGGAGGAAGCTGTTGTCCGTGCTATGCCGTCAAAAAAAAGGCGATGCAAGAAACCTGTTGAATCGTTTGAACAAGTCGCACCCGAGTGCTCAAGTGGAAAGCATGAAAGAAAGCGAGCAGAGTTTGCACAGCCCGCCCGCGGAAACGTGAGCAGTTCAGTCGCTAAAAACGACCCGGAAGCCACCAGATGGTAGCAATGACGCTCGCGGCTTACGTAGGACCGTAACTTCAAAAATGATAACATTTACATTATGAGGCGGATTTGTTATCCCTCATTTCTTCGTCGTTCACTGGGTTATTTTATTTTAGTCTACATTTGTTGTGCAGTAGAACGCCACTGTTTGAAACGAGTGAACGTTAATAAAACGTTGAATTACTCTACAATCATCTTTGTCGTCAGTAGCAATTTTAAAACTGGCAATTTAGAAGCAATGGGGGGGGAAATGGTCGCCGGTCCGCGAACAGCATGAACTTGTGAGACAAAAACGGTTGGGGACCACTGGTTTAGTGTTCAGCAGGATGGTGTGGAGTGGTAGCTGTTAGCTTAAGGCGTGGACTGGAGAAGACCGACTGTCGGCTGCCAACTTCAAGTTGTGCCCTGGTTCGCTCGCTCCAAGCTGTCACTTGAATACAAACGCAATCATCGGCTAGGAGGCCAAGGCGTGTGGCTATTGAGTGGCCGAAAGTAGCTCGTCGCGTGTCGTGTGTGTTTTTCGAGATTCGCGTGTTTTACTAATCACATACCAGTTTTGTGTCCTTTAGCTAGCCATAGCAGCGCGTTTGCAAGTTAGCTAAGTGTGAATAACGGCTCAACAAACGAAACAATTCACTGGGCAGTTAGGCAATAAAAGGGAGCGAGCGGGGCAGTCACGCATAAAACGCACAAGCACTCATTGGCTTTCTCTCAGTGCACGGTTACCGTGGATGTCGGCGGGTCCTCCTGGAACGTGTACTAGTGCCGTGGTGTCTTCCCCGCGGCTCCGGCTGCGGCTCCGGCTCCCATCGCGGCTCGCAACGTCTCCACGAAAAGCAACCGCGGTCGGAACGTCAAATTTCCACAACCGGGCCGCGACTCACCTCCTAAGGTTTCGCCACCTCCATATTTACAGTCCGTCTCGCTACCGTTCCCCCGTGCCTTCTCCTCTCCGCCGCTACCACCACCACCAACAACAACATTATTGACGTCCCCCTCCTACCACGTGACCGGTCTGCTGACGCTAAAAATAGACCCCATAGAAACCAATGGAAAGCGACCGACAGAAAGGCAGACGGGCAGGATTCGCCATGGAAGAGCAGAGCTACGTTGAAGTTGATCTGAAATGCTTCACCCACCAACTCCCTAATTGTTGTAAAAACAAAGTCGAGGTGTTGACAATTAGCTGGTAGTGATAGGGCTACTTTCGTGTGTGTGTGTGGGGGGGGGGGCTCTTAAATCTTAAAAATCCAGTCCAAATATTTACTGACCTAACTGGACACACAGCTCAGTCCCGTGACCATTACATGAGGAAGCTATGGGGGAATAGAAAATGAAAGTGAAAAGAAAAAAATATGACGAAAGACAGAGGATATGCATATGATGATCGAGGGGAGAAAAGTGCCAGAGAGTAAGACAGAAGAGACAGCAAGGGAGCCATGATGGCGGAAGGATGGTGAGGAATGATGGATGAAGAGGAGTGTGGAAGAACTGCAGTAGCAGAGAGGGAGCTCAAGAACACAGTGCGCTGTGGAGGTGGAATAAAAGGAAGGAGAGCGCAACTGAGGCACAAATAGAGAGAGAGAGAGAAGCAAAGAGCTATTCTGGTAATGATGTTGTTGCCATGGAGATGCTTTTCCCCAGTCAGACTACTCCACAGGTGCCTTGTGGGGATTTTTATAGCACGTCACTGATTGGTGGTGATCTGTAGGGACATTGACTGGTTGTCCGAAGTGAAGGGCAAAGGTCATCCCTTGCATGCCATTACACTTCCAATGCATTTGCCTTCTGGTGACACCTGCAACAGTAGAGAAATCTTTGATCCCACCCAAGTACATGAGATATCATTGGAAAGACCAGGATATCCTTGACTGAGCACACCAGGACTTCATCGGATTAGCATAAATAAGTCAAATGATTGATATATACCAAAATCAAATGCCCACTATTATTTTATGTATTTATTTAGAATTAATTAAGGGGCCAAAGGTGATGACTATGATCAACTCATTTTCAGATTCCCACAAACAATGTGTAGCATGCCCTTCCCGAACAAGGATGAAACTTCACTGATGATTTTTGTCGTTTATTTGTGACACCACATATATCCATAACCGTTGCCTAATCACAGTAAGAGCCAAAACAGATTTCACAACACCTCCAGATAATTAACAAACGTAGGTAACGTTCTACACTAAATATTTGCTCAGAGATATGCTCAGAGAAGAAATTATTACACAAAACACACCTTTTGCCTCTTGGGAGGGGCTGCCAGGGTGACAAAGCGTTTGGTATGACTCCGTCACAAACTCTGGCCGAACTTAAGACGTCAAGTTAGCTTTTTGCAAACCGGGCTACACAGAAAATGACAATTGAAATGAAAATTTCAAAATAAAATCAAATCACTATTGCTGTGACAAAAAAAAAGAGATGGTTCTTCACACAATGTGTTTGTACACATACCACAGTTAGCGAGTAGTCATAACATCTGCTAATTTAGTAACAGAAGCATCACCATTCCCAGTCCACTCAGGTGAAAATATACCCAGTTGTACTGCAGACAACATTATGGCGATGCAAAGATGGTGGGAAAATTGGTCCTCTGGTGCCAGTCGGGAGTTATTAGACAAGACGCACGCACACGCTAGCGCTGGTGAGTCAGATCTCTGCGTCACAGGAGAAATCAAAAATGTCAAGCAGAAAAACAGTACGCACGCACACACACACACGCACACAGACATGGCTGGGGGCGCCATTTTCAGACATGATTCAGGATAGCCTTGATAAGCTCTGTCGAACTTGTACAATAATGCACACGTGGGAGGGTTGTCTGGTTTTTTTTTCACCCCGGCACATAATGGCACAGTTGCTGAACATCTGAGCCTTTGACTTCTGATTGCTAACTACATCTCGACATGTAACAAAGTAATATTGCAAAATAAGCTTGTCATTGTGGGAGGATGCTTCTTAAACATGGCGTTACTGTACTCGAAAGACCAAGTTCTGCTCCAACTTCTGCATGTCAAGTAGGCCGAGTGTTGCTCGCGCCTGAGCAGAAACATCTGGCTAAATGATGTGACTGCAGCGCCCTCAATGGGAGAAAAGAGGTACCGCCAGCCACGAGTCACCCCGGAACAAGCGTGTGCGATTCGTTCCAAGTCGCGGAGGAACCACTCGTTGTGGTCGGCGCTGCTCGGAGACAAATTTAGACTAATTAACATGACCAAGGTGAAGGCGTTTTATTGCCACCTCCTGAATTAATTAGCCGTTCTCTGAAATCATGCTAACGATTTGTGTGTTGAACTTATCGACTGAATGGTATACGTATGACGTTCTCCTTCCATGCAGTTTACCTCAAGCAACATTTTTTTTTTCATATTCAAAGCACGGCTGTCAAGAAAAAGGCTAAACTCACCATTTAGCTCCGTTTTTTAAATTGCTCCTTCTTGGTCAAATGACATCCAAGGGCTTTATTCGCGGTGGAAATGCTTCTTCGTTTTCCACCCGGAACAACGTCAGTCGGAATTTACAAACACGACAGCTCATGACATTGAGAAGCAAAGCAGAAAAAACCCAAACAAAAGTAACTCACCTAAATGACCGTACGAAAAGAACTTACCTTGACAACATTTCAACATATTAACGAAAGACTTCCAACATTTAAAAGTAAAGAAATAAAAACGAGTTTACGAAATGATGAAAAGACCCTACTGTGAAATTGATTTTAAAATGCTTCAAAGACCGTCATCAAAAGTGGAACCCGTTTCTTCCTCTTGGGTTCCTCTCCTTTGGCGTTGTCTAGGCAACCAGCCCGTCACGTTTGAGCCGAGTCGTCACTCGGGTCTGTGACGTCACCATTGAGTTCGAATTAATCCCCGCAAAACAACTCTACCCGGAGCAGAACTACGACGTCGTGAGTATTGACACGAGTCATCCTATGGACGACTCTTTCTACGCGGCAGACTGTTTGAAAGTGATTTTGTGGTCGGGGCGATGTAGTCAAACGCGCGATGTCGGAACAGGTGGCAGCTCGCCGTTGTGACAATGGAGATCCGTGTGCGAGACGGTCGTCATCTTCGTTCGAACTTGATCCGTGGTGTTCTCATTTTGGAGGTCCGACATACTGGCCACAATATGATATAGACAATGACGCCGCTAGATTTTTGGTGTTTGTTTATTTTTTTTGTTGGGTGGGGAATGTGACGCAACACTTGATGCGAGGGGTGCCCAGGAGGGGCGGTGCCTACGTCCGTGCGTCATTTGTATCATGCCGTCCACAATCAGGGTTTCGCGAAATAAAATTCATACATACACAAAACAAGGGCATTTCAGTAAGTGTACCGTCAAAAGAAAAAAAAAAGTCACTCCAACCTATAGATTTCCGCAATATAGCGGAAATTTTAACAACGATCGCTAAACCAATATGTGGCATGGGAAACAATGACCACTAATTGATGGATGACTACTCCTTCAGCTCTTTTTTCCCCAATTCATTTTGAAGAGGAGTTTGGGAGCAAAAGAATCCCGGCAGTATCCATGGATCCATCTTATTCTCACGAGGGTCGCGGGCGTGCTGGAGCCCATCACAGCTGTCTTAAGGGCAGCAGGCGGTGGTGTGAGTGTGAGCACGAATGGTTATTCTCCGAAGACTCGAAATTGTCCCCAGGTGTGAGTGTGAGGGCGAATGGGTGTTGGTCGATGTGTGCCCTGCGACTGGCCGGCAACCCGCTTAGGGTGTGGCCCGTCGACTGCACCTGCACGCCCGCGACCCTCGTGAGGATGAGCGGATTAGAAAATGGCTGGATGGATGTATACTTAGCGAGTCCTTGTGAGGGGTGGCTTGGTGATCAGAAACCATTCAGTGTGATAACTATGCAAAAGAAAATCAGGAAGGGTGAAAATCCTTTTTCACGTCACGGTGGACGCCGATATTGGAAAGAGAGATCTGATTAGACTTCAATTCGATGTCCTAACCTCATCTACTTCATAACTGAGTTTGGCAGATTGCAAATAGACATCCAGGCAAAAGACATGATTTGGCGCTCTCTCTCTCTCTCTCTCTTTCTCTCCCTCCCTCCCTCTGCGTGTCCCAGATCATGGAGGATTCTTCTGCTCCACGTTCTGCACGCTCCACCTTTGCATGGCTGGTAGGAGGCTCGCAGGTTCTGGGCGTGACATCGGTCGTGCTGACTGGCGTGTGGATGGGTCACTACCACGGGGGCTTTGCCTGGGATGGGACGGAACAGGAATTCAACCTGCACCCTCTGTGCATGATTCTGGGCCTGGTCTTCTTACAGGGAGATGGTGAGCAGTCATCAACATCAGGATGAACTTCACACATCTTGATTTCATTCACGACCAGCTACTTTCATTCCCTTCTTTACCCGACCACGTGAAAAAAAATGTAAAAAATACATCAAGACGTGCCTAGGATTAAATGCCTGGATAGTTAAAAATCATGAAAAAAAAAACGATATTTGGCATTGAATGAGTCAGACAAATGGATCATTAATAGTGTGTATGCGTGTGTGTATGCATATATATCTGGAGAGAGAGAGAGAGAGAGAGAGAGAGAGAGAGAGAGAGAGAGAGAGAGAGAGAGAGAGAGAGAGAGAGAGCGAGAGAGTTAGCAGGATAGTTAAAAATCATGAGAAAAAAACGATATTTGGCATTGAATGAGTCAGACAAATGGATCATTAATAGTGTGTATGCGTGTGTGTATGCATATATATCTGGAGAGAGAGAGAGAGAGAGAGAGAGAGAGAGAGAGAGAGAGTGCCATAGTTTGTCATGGCAAAGACAAAATATGATTAACTCCTTATTAAACACGAGTATATCATCAAAATATTAAATACAAGTCGATATTTTGGGCAAAATCTTGTGACTACAATTAAATGCGCTTCCTGCAGCATTACTAATCAATGTCTGTGGGCCCTTTTTTCTCCTTCCCTCTCTCTCTCTCTCTCTCTCTGTCTCTCTCTCTCTCCCCCACCCCCCCTTTGGGTCCTGCAGCTCAGAGTACTTTTGCTGAACAGTCTAACTACATTAGCTTCTGTGGTTCAACAGGACAGCTGTCAAAGCGAAATTGCATTAAAGTGATAACAGCAAAGGTCAGCCCAACATTAGTGAGATGTTTACAAGTGATGAAAACACCCCGGGGTGGTCTCTGCACACACGCCTGCACTTGCAGCAGTGTGTGGTCACTGACTGGAACGGTGCCTTGCCACACCCTCATGTTGTCAAACGACCGTTTTAGCAAGAACAAGCCCGCTCGCTGGGCTTTGTGCTGCCTTTGTTGGCATTCAGCACCCCATTTGAAATTGTGGCCTGGAGCAGGGATGGAAACAACACTTTCATCATAATCTTCCGGCGAAGCATCTTTCGGATACAAGAAAAATAAATCAGTCCTTAGAAGTCAAGTCAAATGTATTTCTATATTCTGGACATGTTTACATTGTCAGTTTAAAACATTTATGCCGGCTTGTTCACAAACGGGGACACACGGAGTCCTTTTGCACTGATGTTGACTGCGGTCTTCGTTTTCACTCTTTCCATCACAGGCACACCGAATATGAAGAATATGTAGATACATAAAATACAAATGAGACATACATACCATTTTGGCGTGCTAGTGAACAAACGGGGGTTCAGACTTGTGCTAGCGGAAAACAGGAAGTGACCTAAGTGTGCTCTCGGAAGTTAAGCTCGCAAATTTTACCATTTTCGTTTATCTAGCTAACTAAATGATATTTACAGTATAGTCCGACAAATTGCAGAAAGGTATCGGAAAATGAAAACAAGGCACATAAATAAATTGCGCGCCACGTCAAACGTTCAATCAGCATTAATGGACCAACAGCTCCCCCTAGCGGCAGAACAAAAGTACAGTTACACTTCAACAGCTGTGAGAACATTTCTCAGACCCTTGAATGGAAAATGTTTGCATTTTTAAAAGTCATTTATGTTCATCTTTCTCTTCCCAGCCATCCTGGTCTATCGAGTGTTCCGTAATGAGGCGAAGAAGAATGTGAAGGTGCTTCACGGCATCATTCACTTGCTCGCCCTCATCATCAGCATTGTCGGTAAGTTCGGGAGAGAGAAGAAGCGCTTCTGTTCCTGTGCGCTCTGGTCTTTCTGTTTTCGCGAGGCCCCGTCCCCGATATCACACATTTACTGGAGGACATTTTGGTTGTCGTGTGATGTGTTTTTGTTAGGTATGGTAGCTGTGTTCGACTCCCACAGAGCAGCCAAGTATCCAAACATGTACTCATTGCACAGTTGGTGTGGCATGGCTACCGTTGTGCTATTTAGCTTACAGGTAGGTACACGTTTACGCGCAAATATGCCAACACATGCTTTTTGGGTTACATTTTTTTTCTCTTCACAGTGGGTCATGGGTTTGTTGTTCTTCCTGTTTCCTGTCGCGTCGTCATGGTTGCGAGCAACGTACCTCCCCGTTCATGCGTTCTGCGGTCTGGGCCTGTTGGCTATGGCTGTCGGGACCAGCTTGCTTGGTATCACAGAGAAGCTCCTCTTCAGCATCATGTACGTCCGCATCGACTGTTTGTCTGTTGCATGTGTTCTCATTCACATATCCATCCGTGAAATGTCTTATCGATTGTAGTCTCGTGCGGGGATGGGCAACTTAGATGATGGAGCGCACCACCAACAAAACAGGGACAGTATGGGATTGGAAAACAACAACAAAAAAACTGCAACATGAATAAGAGACATTAATCAACACCACTCAAATATTTGTACATGCTGTAGGGCTATTGGGCGGTGGCAGACAGCCGAGACACACTCCACGGTGACTGCAGCCTTTCAAGGCAAGCCGCAACCAACAGCGCACCTGGACAATCACTCGGGGGAGGCGAGGGATGGGGGGTCAGCCCACCAAAAGGCATTGATGATCCTGTTGTGCGCTCATATGAGTGTTTGTAAGGCTGTGTTGTCAGTCAGACAGGGAAAACAAGACGACATGAAAATATTCTTGACATATATTCTTTATCATCTTTGAATACCAACCAATACTACTGAGGCTTACTGAGCGCAGTTGCCATGGCGTGGGGCTTCACTGACCTACTAATCGTAGCCTCTTGTTCTCTGGCCCAGGTCAAGCTATTCGCGATTTCCACCCCAGGGGGTTCTGGCCAACGTTTTGGGGCTCCTGCTTGTGTGTTTTGGAGTGCTGCTGTGCTACATCATCACCAGGGAGGAGTACAGGTGGCCACCCAACCCCGAGGAGGAATCTTTGGCGGTCCACTTCAAGACCCTGACTGAAGGGGGCTCGCCCACAATGCCCTAGCGCATTTGCTTCCTTCTGACGCAAACTGCCGCCGACAGTTTGACTTTTTGTGGAGGTGTCTTGAATCACTGATGATCGCGGCATCAAATTAAACCAGCATGCGGGCCACTTGCAATGAATGGATCAAGATCTATTGGACCCCAATTCCCCCCCCCCCCCAAAAAAAAAAGAAATGATGCCCGCTTTTGATTGACACTGTCAAAGAGATCTTGCATCAGTGTGGATGTGCGTTAGGTCAATTTGCTTGTTTGTCAACCGTGCGTGTCTGTTTGGTAAACTGTTAGTGCTCTTGAAGATAAAACATTGGGCATTGGCGTGAACATGTTCAGAAAATAAAGTCACACATCTTCATCATCATCATCTTGACATCATCTCCCAGTCAGTGTCAGGCCCCCAAAAAGTATTGAGAAGCATTCGTTCACCTTCACTTGCACAACCGCCAGTCAAGAGTCGCACACGCATCCCAGAGCAACACGCTTCGGCGAGTTGGCGGTGACGTTTAATGACAGCTTTTCATACATCCAATCAAGGTCCTACGTTATTCAAATTCCAAGTTGTCCAAATCACGGCTGCCGATGGCTGAACGCGTCGCGGCGTCGAGAACCATCGCAGCAGAGAGATGGAGAGGTCAGAAGTCTCGTTTGTCAGAAACACACAAAAAGAAATGGGCTAACATTCGTCATCACAAAAAGCACCAAACTTCAAAGCAAGGAACGGAAAGAAGTCGGGCCCGTGACCCCGCGCAGGCTCAGTGGCATCAACAATGAGTCTCCTAATGTCTTCAAAACGAAATGTGATATTTTGCAACAGGTTTGTCAAACCACGGCAGCGCTTCGGTGAAGGCGTCGAGTTGCCACCGAGTCCGGAGATACGAGTCCACCTGGGACGGTCCTGCTGCTCCTCGTGCTCGGGCGACAAGCCCGCGACCTCGCCGTTGAGGGACGACTTTCCGTGAGGAACTATCAAGACGGCTTTTGGCAACGGGCGGCTCTCGAAGCGCATCGGCGACAGAGCGCCCCGGATGCCATTCAACGGTTATCGGTTGTCGTCACGGCCTTCCTCGAGCCTCGCTGCTCGCCGTCTCTAGACATTCGACTCCACAAAGGGTCTTTTGGCTTTGACGGGAGAGGCGGGACACGTCTTTCTATTGAGCGGCAGCGTCCGCGTGAGCTTCGCCTCGACGTAAGTCGGCTTCTGGCCGCCAACGTGAGGATCCTTGCCCGGCGACACGTGATAGTAGGGCAGCCGCGTGTCACAGTGGCCGTTGTTGTTGCTGCGGTTGTGATGGGCGATGAAGAAGGCCGGCTGCGATCGGCCCAGCTCGTCGCCTTGTTTGTCCGGCGACGTGACGACGGTGTCCACCGAGGACACGGCCCACGATCGGGAGGGGCTGAGGCCAGATGGGGAAGCGGGCGGGGCTCGCGGCTGCACTCTTCCGGAATTGTCGCCGAGACCCGCGTAGGGCGCCGCGTTCCTCGACGACGAGCGGCCGGCCTCTCCGGGATACGTGCCGCCTCCGACCACGCACTCCGCCCGGGGCGGGGAGTTGGGCGCCAGATCATCCAGGGGGCCCGCGGGCTCTCCTTTAAAAGCGCGCGGAGCCAAGTCCGCTAGCTGCGTGGGGGCCGGCGTCCTGAAACCTGGGCCCCGGTTGGCCTGCTGCCCGCCGACGAGGCTGCCGCTGCTCGCGGAGAAGCAGACGCCGGGGCTCTGGGAGAAGACGACGGGTCTGTGGGGAAGGGCGGGGGAGGTCGGGTGTCGTAGGGCCGCCTGGTGAAGGTACCGCTGATCATCGGCCGGCGCTTTGGCCATTTCCGTCACTTCCATGGGGTAATAGGCGGCTTTGGATTGGTTGCGGCTGTACTGGCGGGACTGGCCAAAGCGACTCATCATAGGTTTCGGCGGGTAAAGCGGGTCTGCATCCGCGCTCTCTTGAAGACACGGAGCTCCGCCCCCCACCCCCGCGAGCACCTGCTGGCTGGCTTTCATATCAAAGGGGTTTGGGCAGATACCCTCTCCGAGTTCGGCGAGTTCTTGCGGCAGGTGGGCAAACTGTGAGTAGGCGGAACGACCCAAAAGCGCGCTCGACTGAACCGCCGAACTGGGCTGAGCCGTTCTCACAAGCTGGACTTTGGCCGGTTGCGGCCAGTGGTTTTGCTTGTGAAGAGATCTGGACTGCTGGTCGTGCCGCTCCATTGCCCGGCGCGGGTCGGCGTGGTACGCGGCTAACAACTTGCGCTCCGGCGCGGGGCTGCCGGGCTGCGGGTTCTGCCGCGGCGAGGTGGCGGGGCTCAAGCAGCGGTAGGGAGACGAAGAGGGCGAATGGGCGGGGCTCGTCTCGGGGCCGTGCGCGTGCTGACTCGGGGGGAGGGAAGGAGGCAACGGCGCCCCCGGACGGCCGTAGACATTGCGAGCGGCGGCATCTCCGTCGCGCCGATTTCTACCCTCGTCGTTCTCGTCATCTCTGGCAAAGGCCTCGTTGGCGTGAACCTGCAGGTAATCCGAAGCTCCGGACCGTGCGTTGTCGTCGGACAAGTTTCCTTGACAGACGCTCGGCGTGGCGGGAGCGCAAGAGTCCGCTTGCGGCGCGTGCTGTCGACACTCCTCCTTGACCCGAGACAGGAGCCGTTGAATCTCTCGGTTGGAAGGAGACAGGCGGCTGGCTTCCAGCAGGTCTTCCAGGGCTGCGCCAAACTCTCTGCGTTGGGGGAAATGATGAAGAAGGGATCAAAAAGTCTCGCTCGTGAGACGTAACCGTGAATCGAGGAGGGGCAGCGTCGATGCTGAAGGGGGCCACCATTTTCCACCAGAGCCGAATTGCTATTGTTGGTGTTCCGGTTGCCTTACCGGCGACTGCGCTTGGCACGGGCTCTGGCGTAGAAGGCCTCATAAGATTTGGCTTTGAGCTCCAAAGCCCTGGTGGCAAAGTCCTCTGCGAGGCCGAAATCCTGCGGGGCCCAAGTTCTCGTTTGAGCTCAAACTCCAAGACGAGGAGGCGTCGCAAAAATGCGCCCGTGCGTGTTTGCGGCGGAGAGGAACGACTCACGTTCATCTTGCGGCGACAACGTGACAGGTTGAGGAGCACGCACACTCTCAGCTGTCTGAACGTCTTCGGCTCGTCCGCCGGAAACTTCTGGAGTGCAGACTGATAGGAATGTGCTGCTTCTCTCACTTTGCCTTGCTACACACACAATAAATGTTTGTTTGGTTGTTTGTTCACCCCCCCCCAAGAATCAATCAAGTCGACATCTTACCTTGTACAGTTTGTCCCCCTCTTGGACTAATTTACTGATGAGCACCATTAAAATGTCTGGTTTGGATGTAGCCATGGCCCAGGTTGCCGGTCCTACACACACACACAAACGGCAATTCGAATCACGGACACTTTACTCCGGCGTGTTTCGGCTAGATGACAAAAATTGAAGGGAAGAGTGACTTGATGAAACCTCGAATCGCTGCTCGTTCTACGCACGCATCGGAAAGGCGGCGAGCATATCGCAGCGGTGGAAGAACACAGCCAACTACAAAGTACGGCTCTTGCCTATTTCGGCTCCTTTTTTGAGCAGGGCGATGACCGCCGAAGTGTTCCTGCAGCCGACGGCTCGGTCCAGCGGTCGCATCCCGCTGGAATCGACGTGTTCCACCGACGCGCCGTGATCCACCAGATGCTTCACCTGACGGGCGGCACAAGGCGGAGGCAAACTTGAAGACGCCGCGCCGTTTGGTACACTTGTGCCCGCGCGTACGTCGAAAGACGGCGTCTATTTCACCGACCACTTCGGGATCGCCGCCAAATGCGGCCAGATCCAAAGGCGTGCGACCGCTGCGGTCGCTATGCGTCGTGGCGGCGCCTCTGGCCACCAGCTCTCGCACCAACGGCAGCTGGCCTTTCAGACACGCCCAGCTCAGCGCCGTTAAGCCTTCCCTGTCAGCCTGATCCAGAGACGCACCTGAAAGCAGCAAAGCGCGCGCGTCACAGATTCCAGTGGAAACGAATCCGAAGCGACGGGAGCGGTGCGGCCGCGTGCGGGCCAACGCCAAGCTCGACCGACGCGACGCGACCGATCAAACGCCCAAGTGCGACTGTGCCCGTTCGTGCTTTCAAGATGCATATTACAACTAGGTCGCGTACCCGACGGTTCGGCGCGGTTTTATTGAGCGTTTTTCTTTACCGTGATCCAGCAGCAATTTGGCGGTGGTCACGTGACCTTCTGAGGCCGCCGTCATCAAAGCCGTGCGGCCCTGCCGGTCCGCCGCGTTGACCTGCGCCCCGTGATTCAATAACAGCTCCGCCACCTGACACGGGCCGGGGTACAGATTAGGAGGAAGGAAACGGGAATAACGTCCCACGTGATCGTTGCGCTGCTCCGACCTGCCAATGGCCCCGCCTGACCGCACAGAACAGCGGTAAGACACTCGGCCCGCTGCCTCGCTCCAGAGCGGCGCCTCGAGCCAACAACAGCTTGCAGACCGACAACCTGCCACCTCCCGCCGCTGCCGTCAGAGCTACGCAAACAACAAGAAGAAAAAGGAGAAGAGGTTCCAATTCCTTTGTCAGCGTCCAATCAGATGAGCGGTCTGGCAAGAGTGAGTGGCAAGCGTCACTCCGTGCCGGATGGGATTGTACCTGTCTCTCCCCACAGGCTGTCGGCTGTGTTGATCCCGGGTCTCTCCTCCTCTTTGTGATCTCCCTCTGGAGGCTCCAGCAGATAAGACACAATCTACAAACAAAATACACCCATGGTGGCGTTGATTCGACGAAACATATTCTTCACAGTATACCCGTAATTACCGTCTAGGTCTCGCTCTGAGCAAGACACGCTCATGCAACGGGGCAATTTTGACGGTTCGAAAACAAAAAACATCACTATTCAGCCGACGACGCTGTTTTACAACAGAGCCCAAGATGCGGACCTTGAGGTGAAAAGTTTGAGAAGCGCCCGACACGCGCTCCTCCGTTGCCGACCAACGGTGGCGCGGTACGGAAAACGCATCCACCCGTGAAGGGGCGTACCTCGGCGTGACCCATGCCGGCCGCTGCGGTCAGCGCTTGCTGCAAGGCCCGGCTCCTGCTCAGCCCCCTCGGGCCGCAGCAGGCGCCGCAGCTCCAGTCGGCGTGCTTCAGAAGGAAACGCAGCACGCGCAGGTGGCCCCGCTGAGCTGCGTGCACAGCGACGCAGCGACCCGAGCTGTCGACGTGACCGACCTGAGCGTACACGGACACACAGCGGGGTTTTTGTCAGCCCGACATTATGGGCCAGCGTTTCGACAGCAAGCCGGTTCATCGGGACAGTCGACCCCCCCCACCCGCGTTATATTACAGGATATCATTTGGCAGATTTCAAAGTGACTATTTTTTGACAGTTCAAAAGAACAACGATAGTATTCACACGCACTGGCACGATAGCTCTGTCCTCATCATGCTCAAGTCTTCACCTGCGATTCCGCCAGTTGAGATGTTGAGCAACGGTACGGCGGGCTTTACCTTGGCATTATGCTGACAAAGCAAGGTGATAACGTCCAGATGTCCAGCAGAAGCGGCGAACCCGAGTGCAGTCAACCCATCTTGTGACTGAATATCCACCTGTACAAATTGTGACAAGATTTTGGTTTCGAATACCAGTCAAATTCGAATCCGTATTTGCAATTTGTCTTTTGTTGTGGTTGTTGTTGTTTTTTTTTTTGTGTGTGTATACCTGAGCTCCATGGTCAAGTAAAAGGGCTACGGCATCACCATGGCCCAAATGAGCGTGGACACATAGCAGGGGGGCGTTATTGAGGACACCGCTCCGATAATCCACATCCGCCCCACTTAGAATCAGTAATCTGCTCACCTGCATAGGAAGGGAGCTCAATGACCGTCTGCCTGTTTTGAGGTACACTGGCTACACAAAAGACAGCTCCTAATTTTGGGGAGCGGGGGGGTAGATCGTGAGCACCCTAAGCATCCCATCAGTTTCAGTTTCACCGACTCTCTTTTTCTGTTTCGTTCATGCGCGTGTGCATGCGTGTGCGCCCGTGTGCAGCCACGGGGCGGCTCGCAGGATGTTGGATGCTTGAAAAGTGGATCTTTGGTCCAAAAAGGCCGATCGGGTGCCCCCCGGCAAGAGAGTATGTCTAACAGGTTACCTTGATGTTGGGGGTATAAAGGTTTCGCAAGGATGAGAGAGCATGATTCAAGCTCTCTGTGCTGTAAGACATCCACAGGCCCTGCAGAATGGAGGAGGAAATGCCAAGCTTCTTGCTCAAGCCCTGAAAGAGGAGCAAACGTGCCACAGGTCACAATATTTAAGACGCAACGATGGATCACAGCGACATTTCTTACGCAGGGTCAATTTGAAGATGACGTATGTAGAACCGGAACATTGGCGAAACTTGTTCGTTTTTCAAGGCAGTGAGAACAGAATGTCACCGTGAGTTTCCAAAATATACAGTATAGGAACCGCAGATTTCATGCAAAATCTTTGTTGACATCTGCCATATCACTTGAAGAGGTTTCCTAAACGGGGCACGGGATCACGAATAACACACGCGGCGAGCAACTTCGGGACTAGAGGGGGTTACTTTGTAGATGTGAGCCTTTAAGATGTGATGTCCCAGCTCAAGGGTCTGCTGTCGGCTCAGCTTCCCTCCCTGTCTGCACAGCCAGAAAGCCAGCAGCGTGTGACCGCTCCTGCGGGGAGAACAATCGACGGCGTATTTAGCCTTCCGTCTTGTTTCGGGCGGTCCGGTCCCAAGTACCTGGGGTCACAGAGGAACCTGTGGTCCTGCCCTTCATCCCGCCACACCAGCCATTCTCGGAACGAGGTGTGGTTGAGCATCCCGCCGCCATCGGCCCGCCGCAGCAGGAACGGCGACAGCTGCTCCAGACGCTGCGTGAACTCGGCCCACTGCATCGCCCCGCCGGTCAGAGCGCCGGCATTGATCACCTCAAAAAGCTGAATGGGAAGGTCAAACTCTTTTCCACGTCCAACATCCAAATACGATTTCCCATCCCCTCCGCCAGCCTTGGCCTATGTCTGAACAAATGTTTGTATTGCAGTAGAATGCAGATGCGAAATGAGATGCCGGCTACCTGTCGGTCCGTCAACGGGTGCAGCGTTGCCACGGTTACATTGAGCAGCGGGATCACTCTAAGGAAAGACGACTGTGTGGGAAACCGCATGTTGAGTTGCAGCAGGTAGACCTCCGCGAGGCTGACCGGAACCACCTGAACAAGCAAAGAAACGCGCGGCGGTTGCCAAAACGCCACATCCGATGATGCGTAGCGCAACGAAAGAAGGCTTTCTGGGCCGCGGCTTCCTCCCGCTTGCGTACCTTGAAGCTGGAACTTTTCAGGACAAGGTATCCTCCCTCAATCAAGTCCAGGGTCAGTTTCAGGTAGAGGTAGGAGCCTTTGCTTAGGGCCTTCAGGTGGCTAATTAGCTTGGTTAGGGCCGTGTTGTCGAGGCGACCGTTGCTGAGTGCCACGTTGCTCTGAATCTCCGGGCTGCTATGGATGCGTTGCAACAGGTAAGCCTAAGAGAAGACCGTTGCTTAGACAGCACAGGGCAGGAGGAAAGAAGATCGAGACCACAACGACTCCAATCCAAACAACCATCGCTTCACGGGGGGGATTGGCTGTCGACAGGAATGATTCTGCACGTTACCTGCAGGTCTTGATCTATGGCCGTGTTTTCTTCCATCCTGTCTAAAGAGATGCGGTGAAAAGGCAAAGACCGAGCGATGTCCTGTTTGAGGATCAGAACACAGAGTTCTTGTGAGCAATTGGATGAGTGTCATTTCCATCCGTGTGGCGAGATGAAGGAAGCCACCTGCTGACTGGTCCTGACAGTGGCGATGATCTTCAACCATGAAGGGAATCTGTGGATGTTCCGGGACAAGAAGGAGGCGAGTGTGTCGCCGTAGTCCGGCCGATGGAACTCTGCCTCATTGAGCCCATCAATCAGTAGAATGATCCCCGCCCCCTCCACGTGCAACCTCCTCTCTGGGGAAAAACAACACAATCACACAGTCGTTGGCCGTATTTGTCAAAGTCAACACAACTATTTTACCCTTGTAAAGAGCATCCAGCGGTTCTAGAATTCCTTTCTGGAGGGCCGAGGCGGGGTCTCGGATGCAGGATCGCAGGCTGAGCGAGCTCTGAAGTTGCGGCGATCCATTCAGCAGCTCTCGGTACGCCGACAGGCGCGGGGCTTCGGTCAACAGCGCCGCCGTGTTGTGGACGAACTCCGGTACCAAACACGTGTGGCAGTTGTCAGCCTGACAGAAATGATAAGAAACCACCTGCAACGGCAGGCGGGGAGACCGTTTGCCACGATTGAACCATCTGTGGAAAGTACGTGCTCGCTCGAAGACGGCCGGGGACAGGCTCCGGCACGCCCGCGACCCCCCCGTGAGGATAAAAGCGGCTAAGATAACGGATGGACGGACGATACGGTCGATGTCGATTCTCTGGAGCGGAGAGGGGCGGGGGGGGCTACCTGTCCCGCAAGCCTCAGCATGGCCTCCTGCTGTCTCCTCTTGATCTCTGGAGTCCCTGGACAGCTCCCGCCTCCTCCTTCATCTGCCCCTCCTCGTCCCAGCGAATCGTGGGGGACCGATTCTGCGTCTGAAAGAGAAGTAGGCTGACTTCATGTTGGACGCGCGCGCAAAAGCATCTCTGCAACCAATCACTCTATCGTGACGGCGTTGGTGTTTTATTTTCCAGGAGATCGCGGGCCCCTTCTGGCGATGGGTTTGGCAGCGCGTCGAGTTGTTGGTTCTGCATGATGACTCAGCTGTCTGGAATAGGAGGTCGTCTTTGCGGGCGGAACAAAGCATTGCATCGGGGGGTCTTTTGGCTACAATTGGCTGTTCGTCTAAGATGTCGACAGCAGACATTTTCTACTCCCTCCGACCCCAAAAGTTTCCGGTATCCCAGCACATATTCTATTTTGCACGTTAGGATGACTACGATTGCGAGCCGCAGTTCGACCACGCCGATGCTGCCGATCTGGCTTTCTCAGCTCCCCGAGGGTTCTCTTTGCAAGTCGCAAGTCACGTGACGACATCCCTAATCGTAACGCGTGCGTCCGTGTCGGAAGACCTGCATCGTCCCTTCCTGACTGTGCACGCGCCTCACTTTTTAAGCGTCCAATCTGCGGTGGCCGACAATGGCTCAATCACGAATGGCCGGCGGCGATTGAATTGGACGGACGCGACCAACACGGCCAAACTCACGCCCTAGAGAAGAGGTGGGTTTGATTTTTGGACCTTGCGCTGGATTTCAATGTCACGGCGTACTCTGGTTTCTTTTTCAGTTCTCGGCCCCCGCTTACATTTGGGCGGCGTCTGGAGAGCAGAGGATGTCGGCCACATCCGGTCGCCGTGACAACTCAGCGCCGCCAGCCGGGCGATGACGGCCGTCTTGCCGAAACCCATGCTTCCGACGATCACCACCCCTCGATTGACGAGCGGGTCGTCGCTGGAGAGACGGTTGTCGACTTCCTGGAAGAGCCACTCCCTTCCGGTAAAGCTCCAGTCGGACAACAGGCCGGGAATCTCGAAACGGAGGGGCTTCAGGCTCAGGTAGGGACTCAACTGAACTGCGGAGAGGGAAATAAGAGCATTGTGGACGCTTGCGGCGCGACTTGTAAAATTGCCCCGGTGTGTCGGATGTCTTCACCCCGCTTTTCCTGTTGACTTCGACTTCCAGAATTCGATCGGGGCATTCTGAGGGACGCCCTGGAAGGAGTGCACCTTTGCTGTTCATCAAGGTAGGCCAGATCTTCAAGTTGAGCGCAACTAGTGGCTGAACAAAGACAAACTTAAGTTTGACAGAATTAGAGTAGACGCAGCCCCCTCGAAGCCGCGCTAACATTAGCAGCATGTCAGCGGTAAGACTTGTCACATAGGCGAGGAAAAGCATGGAGGTTTGATATGCGCAGCCTCCGCGGTACAAGTAACGACCGTGTCTCGCTCTATCGTATGTGAGGACTCACATTTGTTGAATAAAGAGAAGCCTTGCATAAAATGTTGACTGGACAGGAGCTTTTATATCCATGATCCATAAGTTTGTATTAATTCGGCAGCTTCTCGAGTTGTATCATCCCTTCCCACAAATGTGACGGTCAAAGGTAAAAAAACAATTTTTAAACAGTGACTAAGACACAGGTTCATCGGCTTGCTTCTTCGCTGCATTCCAGTGGCCAAGTGTGTGAGAAGTATGCAAAGAACACAGAAATCAGGAAGGGAGCAAATACTTTTTCGCAGCCCTCTCCACGTACACCATCAAGAACGTGTACGGGGGCAGTGCAACAGCAGATCAACACCACTGCAAACTTTTTGGGGTGTTCTTTTCCCCAAGCGCAAGCCAAAGCACACGTATGATTTTTCGCTCAAAAGTGACTTCAAAGAAAATGTCATTTGCTTGACAAAATGCTGGAAAGACTCCGTCGTGTTATTTACGAGAAGAGCAAAACTCACCAAATGTGTGAAAGCACTCAATCCGGTCACAACCAACGCCGCAGAGAATGTTCGCGCTAACTCTGCTTCATATCCTGTGCCTGTGTGCGTGTGTGCGTGTGTGTTATGAGACGTCATACATGTGACTTCCTTCCTTTCCCAAGTGCTCTTCTCAAGCGCTCATGAGTCAGTGACCATGGAGAAAAGGGAAGGGAGGATGAGATAAAACCCTTGCGTGTTTCTGCTTTTCAACTGGTCACCCCGTACCGGCAGCTCCACAGCGTGTGGGTGGTCGGAAAGATCATAGACAGATTCAATATTGGGATGGCAAATGCAAGTATGAGCTTGTTCATTGTTGCTTTTTGCAAAGCAACAATGGAGATCCAATAAAAAGCACAGAATTCCAGATTTGGTTGCATTCTGATTTTTTCAAATGCTTGAGGTAAAACTCCTGCCGTTCTGTCGATTTCCAAATTGATTGACTCTGACACGGGCTTACGTTCGTGTGGCGTCATGATGCCTGAGTTCTCATCTCTGGTTGAAAAACAAACGTTGAGATGGCACAGGAAATCAAGGATGAAAAAAGATTTCACCTTTGTCTCCAAGTACCTCTGCATCAATAGCGTTGCAAAGGATTTGACATACATACATATTAGAGAGAGAGAGAGAGAGAGAGAGAGAGAGACTTAATTTGTGGCAGCTCTACAACTTTCCCGTGTCATGGGTTCACAAAACTGGAGGAAAGATAGACTGTCTTGCTCACAGGAAAACTACATAAGGGCCCTGACACACACACACACACACACACACACACACACACACACACACACACACACACACACACACACACACACACACACACACACACACACACATATGCACAGGCCATTGATCTTACCAGCAACCGAGTTGGGGCGAGGCATCAGGTAGAGCGGGATGGAGTGGGTGGATCCAGACAAGTGCTTTGAGTCTTGCCCCCATTCTGGGTGGAGTTTGTTCAGGCTGTATGTAGAAGCCACGCCGTCCTCCGCCCTGTAGACAAAGTCATCGTCGGAGCTTCCTGTCGCTATCATACAGGAAGAGGAAGTCGACGCCACCACTGGCCGCCCCTCCGGCCTCCATCGTTGGAGGCTGCTTCCTTGGTAACCGTCGCCGGGGTGCTTGGCATTGTCCTCGCGCTCTGCCGCCGAGTCGGCCGAATAGCTGGTCAACGTAGCTGAAAGATGTTTCGAGTCTGTGATTCATCAGTTCACGGTTCACATTTCAAACTACAATTAACGGTTAGCGTCTTGTCTCACCCATACCTATGATCCCACTATCTCTGCTCTCCAGAGTCGACGTGGGAGAGGTGACAGAGGCGTGGACGGATGGTTTGTTGTTGTTCCCCTCCACACCAGCGGGGGGCTGTAGTGTGGATGTGGGAGAGTTGCTGCTGCTGTCCAAACTGGAGGAAGGCGAGATCCTCTGTGGGGGAGAAAGCAGATTAAGACACGACATTGTGGCATCATTTTCTCATCATTTCTGCTGTTCTTGAGAATTGAATGATGTCATGTGACGGGGATGACCTGTCCATCCGCTTGGGCGTGGTGAGGTGAGCCAGGTTCTTCATGAAGGATCTTTTCTCCCAATAAAAAGCCCAGTCTGGTCATCAGCGCGTCGGCCGCCTCGTCTACGGAGGGAGGGGGTCCGAAATCCTCCTCTTCACCTGCAGATCCCGAGGGAGAAGAAAGCGGATGCAAACAACAAGTTTTTACACGCGTCCTGTGTCGATCACTGATCTTGCTCTTTAGTTTCTCGGATGAGCACATTTAAAGGAACACGACTTCAGAAAGTTGTTCCGCATGATACAAATTTCTGTTAGTACGGGCAAGCCGACGAGTACCCGAAGCCTTGGGCTGCTTTCACTTCAACTTGGGAGAGCCACTCCGGTCCGTACGAGATCCATTTTTTTTCTTACAAGCATTCGCATGGACACATTTAGCTCCAGATTTGTCGGCCTATTTTGGCTCTTTCGGGTCAGGAATTTCTCTCCTGCACCTCGAATCATGCATCTGCTTTCACTGAAATGTGACCACTTTCCAACCGCATGAACAGAAAATTAGAGGGACTGTGAACATGACACCAATTAAACTGCATCGGAAAGAAATTGGCAAGCAAGTTAGTGGTGTCCACGCCCACTTTTGGTAGGAAATATATCGAGTTGTCATAGCAGTACTATGCAGACTGTGCCTGTTACAATGACTATTGCACGGTAGCCTTTGTATTTGCCAATTGGTCCAATTTCAAATCGCTGTCTGGTTAAAGACCCAAATCCAAGAGTGTCGGCTTCAGGTCCAGAAAGTAGGATGCAATTCATTTTAGACTAACTCCCCGGGAGGACTGTTGCATGTTCAAATGCGCGTCAGCGATGGCTTTTCTGTGTGCGCGCGATCCCCCGCTGGTAGATTTCACATGGAAGGTCAACATTTATGCCGCTTGATAAGCCTTCACCGTTATGTTCCCGTAACACAGCCACCCACACGCACGCACCGCCACCGCCACCACATTCCTGCGTGCGTACGTCTGTGAGGAAAACACAGCATACAAAAAATTGACAGTATGTAATTACAGCTATAAATTGATGACTGGTGAACGAAATAATAGAAAGGCATTGTGCGTGCCACCGCACAGTCATGTGTGGTCAGTCAATGACAGAGTGTGTAAGCTGCGAAGCAAAAATAAAACGTCTTTCCGTTTCGTCCCGACAAATATTCCTTTCCCCTTTCCTTTCCTCAGCTCGCTTCCATTCTTTTCCATTTTCACTCCACTTGCCCTTTTTACAGCTTTTTAGTATGACGGTCCTTTTCGAAAGGCCGTTTTGCATCTTGTTGTTTTTGGAACTTGGGTGATGAAAATGGCAGAAGAGAGGAGGAATGACGCGTCACTGGGGGTCAGACCAAGAGTCCTAAGATTTGACTTGCCGTATCAAAACTTCTTGTCCCGCCCGCGCTTCTCCAAAGCTGGGATACGTAAAGCCGGTCTAAAAATGGAAGTGACGAAATCCAAACAAGCAGAAGCCAAAACCACTTCATCGAAGTTAAGCTGGAATCAAAAACAACATCAGAGTTGGAGAAAGAATGTGCACCTTTTTCAACATGAGAGGTTCCTGGGGGGTGGGGGGGGGCTTGTTTTTTTTTTTGGGGGGGAGGGCTTTGTGAAATCAGGCAAAATGCATTTTGTAAGCAATTACTGTGCTTCCAGCTTTTTCTCCCACGTCCCCAAAACACGCACGTCACCGAAATAAGATTTGTGTGAGATGACTTTGGATTCAACGAGAGTCATGAATGGATTCACACAGAAAATAGGCCGGTCACACTCTTGAACCCGATGCGACGTGAACAGAAACTGCGCCACCAAATAGGTCTGATTTGAGTTACCGTATGTATATAAAAATCACCTCCGAAATAGAGAAACATTGTTAGGAATGCAACTTCATGTTTTTTGAAGCATTAGGCCGGGGGGTGTCCAAACGACGCCCCAGAGGGGCCATTTGCGGCCCGCTGACCATGACAATGTTTGGTCATGGAGAAGAATTGACAAGTCGGACAGCGATGAGGCGTGGAGACTGTTGACACTCGTCTACAGTGCCTTAGCCAATCAGGATGCAGAACACAATGCACTGTGAAGAAAAAAATTGCCCCCCCCCCTCCTCCCCAAAATCTGTAAAAGAGCGAAGCCACGAAAGATGAACCGTGTTATAGCGTGGGACTAACGTATATACTGGAGAACGTTTCCCTATATTCAAAGATACAAATGAACCTTTTTTAAGGAAACGAGTAACACAACGCATCTTCAAAACAACTGCGGTGAAGAAGAGAATTCAATTTTAGGGTCAAGGATAGTTGAAAGAAAAAAAAAAGTTGAAAACGAGCCTTTCACCCCTTCTTCCTTTTCTCTATCGGCGGCCCCCCACTGAAAAAGTTTGGCCACCCCTGCGCGAGGTATTTTTGGACACCAATTGGACTCGACTCTCACCTTCCTCGGACCTTCTGCCTCTCCTGTTCCTCCTTCCTCCATCGATGGGATGATCGACCCAATCCCGACACAGATCCGAGTTTTCCTCATGAGTCAGACAGCAGCAAACATAAAAGAGAACGCTTCGCAGAAGGGAGGAGGCGTGGCCCAAGGTGCCAACCGCCCCGCAATGGCAGCTGCCCGCAAACCTCCGCGGGAGACGCGCGGAGGCCCGCTCGCGCCGGCACCACGCCGCCCTGGAGCGGGCGCACGCTTTCAAAATAGCCGCCGTGCCGTCCATAACTAGCGAGCGGCCAGGTTGGAATCGCTTCCGACTGTTTCCATGCGGAGGGCGGCGTCAAGACATCAAAGGGCTGCCGTCGCCCCCAGAGGAAAAAAAAAAACGGCCTTCCGTTTGTGTGATGACGAAGGACAAAAAGGTCCTTCAACGCGTTGCCGTTTGTTGCCTCTGCCACGGGGATCGTTTGACAATTGCCGGTCAGCGCAAGCGAACCATCACTGCCGTGTTTCCGAGCTCCACCTTCTCCGGAGAAGACAAAAGGAGAAAGGGGAGACGGATGGTGGGAAGAAAAAGATAAGAGAAGCTCTCTCTCTCTCTCGCTCTCTCTCTTCGGGAATAGAAAAGCACTCAAGATACTCTCGCTTGAACTCCGCAGCGGCACAAGAAAAACTGTGGCGTAAGCCGGAGAGTACGACACGTTGATGGTCAGATCGTCCAATGTCCGCGCACTAAAAAAGAGAGAGCTTTCAACGCTGAGCGCAACTCACAACGGAACAGACCGGGTGGGGTGGGATGGGGGGGTGTCCGCCGCTCCTTTGAGTCAAAAAGTGCAAAGCATTTTCATTCACGGTGAGGGGGGGGGGAGAATCTGCCAAATACGTAGTCCAAAAGAAAACAAACAAACGTCAGCTTTAAGTTCCGATAAAGTTCCTCTTCTGCGAGTAAACAAGTCACGTCTTTCAAGTCTTTCAAGGGCTCCACAGCAGAGCCTCCATATCTGGTCTGAAAGACGATCTCTCTCGTCTGACTGCAGCGCAAATCACAACTCCCCTCCTCCAACCAAAACACGCACATGAAGGAGAAAGAGGGAGGGAGAGCATGGAGTAGCTCCACGCACAGAGCAATTTTGCTCCAGAGGAAAAAAAAAAGGGCTGAAAAATGGGACTTCACAAAGACATCGAGGACTTCTGACCACAAATCCACTTTGCTCCACAAAAACTTTTCGACGCCTTGCACCGCTACAAAAACCGATCGTGCCCTGAAAAGATAAAGGCACCGTTTATTGGCATTGTCCGGGAAAACGACTCGGCACATTTGTTTGATGGGTGTACAGTACTTGTGAACTATGTTTTGTACGAGTTTGAAATAACGACACGTAAAATAGCATAGCCTACGGTTTTCTCCCGCTTATCCGGTGTCGGGTCGCGGCGGCGGCAGCTTTAGCGTGGAACCATATCATGACGCCGCATCAAACTTGTCTTTTTGTCCTTTTTGGGGAAGGGCTCATCGGAGTTGATTCTCATCCACTCCGCAAACGCGGGATTGCTGGATTTTCTCCCTATTTCGCGCATGCTTTTCTTTCAGCTTTGGGATTGGCTGACTCTCTGTCAAAGAATGCAAGTCGACAGCAGCTTCTACGGTTCACCGATTCGCCAACCAGGGAACTGGCAGCAATACAAAGCGCTCGAGTGCGTTCGGGGTAGACTTTTCAGGCATTTCAACCCCAAAAATCATTTTCACTTTCACACTGCAAGTCAATCGGTAGTCAGCTGTCGCTAGTTGAAAGGGTTGGTGAGTCGAGCGGGTAAAGATGAGCGGCATGAAGACCGGACGCTCAAGAGAAGTGCTTTTCTGAGGTTCCCGTTTTGACAAAGCCTGAGACTGCGCATGTTTAGCGGAGGTTGTGTCAAATCAACCCTACTGAGGAGGGGAGGGGGAGCAGAAGCGCCAGGAGGATGACCAGCGGCTGTGTTTTATCTCTCGCTAAGGAGAATGGGCGCTCACAGTTCAAACCGGCTCCTTTCACCGGACACCATATGACAGGCGCACAGCTGCGGCACGTGACGCCGACAGGAAGGCGAAGGCGCTCTGGAAAGTTCGAGCTCATCCAAAGGTGGCCGCGCTTCACTCTTGTTTGGCTACGGCGCCCCCGTGGCCACGAACACGATGGGCAAGATCGAAAAGGAATGGCGTGGGGGACGGCCCCTGCCTCGTGTCGTGAAGGCGTCGTGGTTTTTGGCTACCCGACCGTGCTCGAGACAGAGACCAAGACTTACCGGCCGTTCTTTTGGCCTGACGAAGGTTCAGAGGAGAGGAGGGAAGGGAACGAGTAAATCCTTCGCTGGGTTTCATCTCTGAGCTTGTAGACTCAACACCGCCACCTGTCGAGAGAAAATGAAGATTCAAACACCGTACGCCACGGCCTGACAGGTCCAAGAAATACAGCGGCATCTTCAATTTCATCTTTTCAAGGAAAGTGCAATTCATCGGCTCTCTTCTTCTTAGGAAATGAAAGAGACAGACAAATGCAACTGTATGAACGATTAGGCAGTCATAAAAAAATCTCAAATACAATATGATTGCTTTGTCTTGATTTGCAGAGCAAACACACACACACAAAAATCCATCCGTCCATTTCACTTTTCATGATCCAGTCCACCGTATTTGGGAAGCTCTATAATTGCTCTGCCATATGATATGATTGCATTGCTGCTGGCATTTTTTTCGCCTACACGAGCCGAGGAAAAGATGTGGCAGGTGTTCGCGGGCGACGCAAAATGATGGATGGTCCTGGACGGTCAGACCAGCCATGCGGGGTTTTGACACCTCTTCTTGAAAGGACAGGTTTGAAACTCCAAACAGCATTCCACAACAGTACATGAAAGATACTGGTCTCCACCCCCCCACCCCCCCAACTTTAACAACGATAATCTCTTTTCACTGATTGATTAGGCTTACGATGTCACTTATCTACAGCCACTCGGGTTCATTGCGTGGGGGGGAAAAAAAAAAGGGTTGACAGACAGCAATGTGGCCTTCGAGCATAACTGCAATTGCGTACAAAGGGCCGCAAATACGAGAGCTGTTTCACAAGATGGGTAATGACACATGGTGACACTGACCGCCATTGTTCCTGCGGCTTTTGCTTCCCAGCAACATCTTCAGGCTGTTTCGGAACATGATTGCTCACGATGGACTTCCTGTCAAAAGATGATCAAATGTGAAGAAAAGTTCACGCGTGACGTCAAAGAGCAAATACATCGGAATCACACGGTGCATCTCCATAGACATCTGCGATGTGTTCAAAAGAACAAGAGGGAGACCCGCAACGCTGGTGCGCCGAGAGCGCAAGTGTGAAATCCCTCATTGTTGCGGCGATCGCTTGAACAAGTCAAATCAAATCAAATCATGTGACCAATACAGGAAGTGTGTTGTTTCAACAACTGACCAATGGTGCACATGAAATTAGACAGAGATGAAATCATATTTTCAGTACAAAAAAAAACAAAAACAACTAGCAATTGAATACAGTTGAAATATAATTTCACAGTCTATTTTGGGGTGCGGAGCCTGCAAGTTTTTCCTTTTTTTTGACATTTTTGGTGGCCCGCAATGACTTGAGATGTACAGCAGAGGGCACTATGGACTGATCAACACAGCCTCAATAGAGTTTGTGTCACGTGACGATACACTCCTTGAGGTATCATGTACCCGTCACCATCCACTACAGATTCTGAAATGTGACAATCAGCTCTTTACCTTGACACCCCACCCGAAACAAAACAAAACAAAACAGTCATCATATCATATCACGACTGCTACAAATCTTCAAAGCGCCACAGAAAATCCGCCTGTTTTCCATTCGTTGCTGAGCTACATTTTACGATGCGTAATGATGCAAACGCAAAAAAAAAAAAAAAAAAAAGGGGGGGGGGGTCCCTATTCTTTAGCCCCCAAACGTCTTTATTCCCAATGAAACGTTTCCGACTGTTATATGGCCCATGAAAGTCCACTTGAAAAGATGGATTGACTTTGTTCATGCGCTGAGATCATTCAAATTCTTCGAGGTCCTGTCAACGTGCTGTTGGCTTGATGGAGTCGGGTCAACAGGGTTTTAGGGGGGTCCTTCCCAGCTCAACAGTTGCTTGGGATTTGTTTTCTCGACCCATCTGGTTATTCATTCACACAGTTGAAAAATCTGCTGTATCGCCAACGTTCTTTTGGAGCGCTTTATGAGCCCCCAAGATTTGGCCTTTTTTCTTTTCTTTTTTTGCTTTGTTTTGTTTTGTTTCAGCATTTCATGAACATACGGCCCTGAACTGCAAATGCCAAAGCTGTCACAGTCCCATCTGGACTTGTAGTTGAATCTGTTGGCATAATTGGTACTTTGCATGAAAGAACAAATCAGTCTCATTATCTTGCTATTGTGCAATCTGTTCTAATCTCTTCATTTGTTTGCAATCTGACAGTTTTTTTCGCTGTTGCGGTTGCTCTTTTGTTTCCCCCTTGCCAATTGTTGATCATCACGTGGGAGCGCGCTAGGGTGTACAAATAGGATGAAATTCCGCAAAGATTGAGGATCGATGGCAAAGCTGACAAGGAAGGCGGGTGAAACCGTTTATGTTTCTCCCTTAAATAGCTTGGGTCACAATACTTTCAAAGTTTTGCAATTGTAATAAGAAAAAAAAAACTGCTTCCAAGTCGGTCATCGGTCACTTGCCGGCAACTGGGCCACCGGTCTGTCGTGGTCCGTACGTCACCCCGTCGCCATCATTTCAACCATGCCAGCTATCATTGCTCAATGAAGGAAGGATTCATGTTCTTGAAGAGTTCTCGGCTCAGTAATACCCAAAAGCATGCGAGAAGAACAATAATAATTGCTAGCTGTAAAAAAACAAAACCAAATGCTCCAAAAGACCTTTCGCTGTCTGCATGGCTATAGTCTAGGAATAGAACTAATCCTCGTCGAAGAGCCGCCCCGCAAAATCCAAATTGCAGTGACGACTTGTCATCTTACTTGGGAGCGACAACACGCAGTGGCTCGCGTATCGCTGCGTGAGTGTAATGTGTGTCAGTGTGCTAATCCTCAATGACAGACAAGCGGGCACGGAAAGAGTCTGAAAAGCACAGCCGCATCCACCCGCACAGCAAATCCTAAACGACGGAGAGCAGAACGGCAGTAAGGATGTTCAGATGCCAGCAGAGGAAAGAAAATGCTTTCGACGCGCACTGCGGCCAAACGACGCAGCCCGGTCGAAGAATAGCCCAATTGAATGGGGCCCAATGGGACTTCCACGGTACCTTTGGGGCTTCGCATTTTTGTTTTTATGTCGTTCACAAAAACGTTTTTTTAGTGAGTTAGGTTATTTTTTTTTTTTTTTTCGCTTTTAGGTGTTGTCATCTCATTAACTTATTTTCGATAACTATGATAGCCTTGGTTTCGGCACAGGTGAGGGGCCGGAGCTTTTCTTCAAGGTACATGCGCATTGCTCCGGGGAGGAAGTTTTGAGCCAGCGGCCAAAGGCACACGAGAGACGAGGCTGTTCCTGATCAAAAGCGAGCATCTGCGCCCCTGCGGTCAAGTCCTCTTGGTGCTCTGGGAGTGAACGAGAGATGCGGGAAATACAGAAAGCCATTTCTTGCCTTCTCCCTGAGTCACTGATGGCAGTCTGCGGTCAGCAAACATGAGTCGGCGCTGGCACGGCGTTGAGTTCATTCACGTGAACCCCACGCACGCAAGCACGCACGCACTCACGCACACGCGCGTGGGCGGCCACACTCACCATCTGTCGTCAGTTACTGCTCTCGGTGACCTCCCATATCCTTGTTAGCAATAGAAAGGGTGGGCCCGGGGAGGTTTGGCTGACTCCCCCACCCACTGTTTTGGCTCTATATGCTAATGATGCTAATGATGATGATGCAAAAAAAAAAGCAAGACTTGAATCCATGTCATTGGTATTTTTTTCAGCTTTAAGTTTGTCACAAATGCAAAAGAAAATATTTTTTTCCGCAAAGAGGAGGAATGGCTAAATGTGCGAAGAATCACTTCTGTCATTGCCTTTATG